GTTAGCCCAAAAAGTAATCTGAAGCTTAATAAGGAAACTTTTTTTGTCGCGCTACCCAGCTGGTTTTCAACGAAAAAAATTATCTTTATTTAAAAGAGCATTTTGACGGTTGTTGTGTACCGCTTCCTCGATCGTAAGGAGGATGTCGACGTAACAGTAAAACGCATTAAGGACGCATGCAGAAGAAGCTTATTGTTGATTTATATTTGACCTAGTAGTTGTAGAAAATTTTTGGACTTAGAATGGCAACAACGTCCGCGTTCTTATTTATTTTTTTCGATACAAAATCCCCCATCAATTACTATTAATTAATTAAGAGTTCTCGACAGGAGTCAATAGAAGTGATGGCGCGAAACCGTTAAGATTAGGGTAATGGTAAAAAAGTTGAAGCGAACGTTCGAGAGAATGTTTATATGTGGAAATTAGATTTGCATTACAAATGTGGGTCCAGGAGAAGAGTTCCACAATAATTGACTGACCAATGATTGCATAATAAATCTAAAGGCAAAACTGCATTCCTCAACGCAAATTTATATACTCGAAACTCAATATAACAAAAATTAATTAATTAATTCATTAATATTCATTTGCGATTGAGTATCAGCTATATTGAGTATCAACGATTGAGCCCACACCCTGGTTAAGTGATGAAATAAGATCGTAACCGTGCAAAGCTATTATTTAAATTATTATTAAATTTTATTTCTACCCGAGATTATCCAATGCTAGAAATTCTGGTCACAGCATCAGACTCACTCGAGGTCTACTAGTGTGGGAGCTGATGGAGTTGGTCTCAAACTTCTTCTTCCTATATTGGATATTGTTCTTACTCCTATTACTCACATTTTTAACTTCTCTATTGAACGATCCTCATTCCCTTCAATCTGGAAGATTGCTCATGTTGTCCCTATGCCTAAATCCAAGAGTCCTATTTCCATTTTATCTGTAGAATAGAAGAATTTAATTTGCACAACGAGTTTCAATCGGGTTTTTATGCTTGCAACAAACGTTGTGTTACCATCCTTGTACTACTTGATTTCAGCTAGGCGTTCGATTCGGTTGATCACGATCTCTTGTTGGCTACCCTTAGAGGTGTGCGTGCTGATTCTTCGCTATCGTCTGCATGTGATATTAAATGTGGTGTACCTTTTGCTCTTTTCAATTTTTATTAATACCGTCAGCCATTGCATTTCTTGTAATTATCATGTGTATGCTGATGACCTCCAAATTTACACTACGACAACTATTGATGATTTTGCGGAAGCTATTAATCATGATCTTTCTAATATTTTGGATTGGTCTAAACGTTATGGCCTTAAATTAAATACTGCTAAAACTCAAGCGATTGCGTTTGGCAGTCGACCTTTACTTGCCAGTAAATGCTTAATGATTTTTCACCCATTCGCTTAATGCTTGACGATGACATTATTCAGCTGTCAGATACGGTTAGAAACCTTGGGGTGGTTATGGATTTCACAATGTCCTGGAAACCTCTGCAGAAAGGTCTATCATTGTTTCCACTCACTAAAAAGTCTCAGTTGCTTCCTTTCTCCAAATGTCCAAATGACCAAATGTCGGTAGAATTAAAATTATTGTTTGTCGGGATCGAACCTATTGGCAAGTTGTTAATGGAAGCACTTTGGAATCGGAGCATGTTACAAAAAAACTTTTATATCAAAAGTTGTAGCAAATTTTATTCTTAACAATATTGCTCTCTTGCACTTCTGCTCTTAGATGCGTCAATATCGAGATAGATACGAAAATATGAAAATTTTATGAATTTGTTGCTCTTTTAAGTTATTAAAGGTAACATTTGAGAAACGGAGCTTGCTATAAAAAAACTTTTATAACAAAAACTGTTGCAAATTTTATTGTTAACAATATTCCTCTCTTGCACTTTTGCTCTTAGATACGTCAATATTGAGATAGATACGAAAATATGAAAATTTTATGAATTTGTTGCTCTTTCAAGTTATTAGAGGTAACACTTGAGAATCGGAGCTTGCTATAAGAAAACTTTTATAACAAAAATTGTTGCAAATTTTATTGTTAACAATATTGCTCTCTTGCACTTTTGCTCTTAAATACGTCAATATCGAGATAGATACGAAAATATGAAAATTTTATGAATTTGTTGCTCTTTCAAGTTATTAAAGGTAACACTTTGGAATCGGAGCATGCTATAAGAAAACTTTTATAACAAAAATTGTTGCAAATTTTATTGTTAACAATATTGCTCTCTTGCACTTTTGCTCTTAGATACGTCAATATCGAGATAAATACGGTAATATGAAAATTTTATAAATTTGTGTTTCAAGTTATTAAAGGTAACACTTGGGAATCGGAGCTTGCTATAAGAAAACTTTTATAACAAAAATTGTTGCAAATTTTATTGTTAACAATATTGCTCTCTTGCACTTTTGCTCTTAGATACGTCAATATCGAGATAGATACGAAAATATGAAAATTTTATGAATTTGTTGCTCTTTCAAGTTATTAAAGGTAACACTTGAGAATCGGAGCTTGCTATAAGAAAACTTTTATAACAAAAATTGTTGCAAATTTTATTGTTAACAATATTGCTCTCTTGCACTTTTGCTCTTAGATACGTCAATATCGAGATAGATACGAAAATATGAAAATTTTATGAATTTGTTGCTCTTTCAAGTTATTAAAGGTAACACTTGAGAATCGGAGCTTGCTATAAGAAAACTTTTATAACAAAAATTGTTGCAAATTTTATTGTTAACAATATTGCTCTCTTGCACTTTTGCTCTTAGATACGTCAATATCGAGATAGATACGAAAATATGAAAATTTTATGAATTTGTTGCTCTTTCAAGTTATTAAAGGTAACACTTGAGAATCGGAGCTTGCTATAAGAAAACTTTTATAACAAAAATTGTTGCAAATTTTATTGTTAACAATATTGCTCTCTTGCACTTTTGCTCTTAGATACGTCAATATCGAGATAGATACGAAAATATGAAAATTTTATGAATTTGTTGCTCTTTCAAGTTATTAAAGGTAACACTTGAGAATCGGAGCTTGCTATAAGAAAACTTTTATAACAAAAATTATTGCAAATTTTATTGTTAACAATATTGCTCTCTTGCACTTTTGCTCTTAGATACGTCAATATCGAGAAAAATACAAAAATATGAGAATTTAAAAAATTTGTTTATTTCTCAAGATATTACAGGTAACGTTTGGGAATCGGAGCATGTTATAAAAAAACTTTTATATCAAAAGTTGTAGCAAATTTTATTGTTAACAATATTGCTTTCTTGCACTTTTACTCTTAGATGCGTCAATATCTATTTTGACAATATTATATTTTGAACCATTTTCGAATTAGGCACTTATGACGCGTACTGTATATACCAACGATCTGGCAACGCTGCTCGAGCGACATTGCCATATCGTTGGTACAATAAATTGGTAGATTAAGTCGTATGTCGGTAGACCGATTAATCGGTAGGGTTGCATATAACACGACATATCCTGATCTTTCGGTAACACTCCGAAACAAACTGCAAAGATTTCAGAACAACTGTATACGGTATATCTTTGATATCGAGAGATCTCAACACATAACTTCATACCGTAATTAAATTATTTACAGATATTACGCTGTCAGAACCGTAGATCGTTTCCTACTGTATATTTCAACGCTTGTCGTCGCATGGTAGATCTCAGTTAGATTCTCTGCTTATGTTCCCGACCCATAGTACTAAGATTTACCATAAATCGTTTACTGTAAAGGCCATAACCCTTTGGAATCGTCTGCGTATTGAGATTCGTAATATTCCTCACTTTATGACATTTAAAAAGCATCTTTTATTGTAGCAACTAACATTATGCACCGTTTTAGTGACCATAGATTTATTATTATTATTATATTGAGATGAATGCCGTTAAAACCAGCAAATAAATCTGATGATTAAGATAGCCAATTTATTTTTTCCCTTTCATTCTCTCTGACGATCATCATTAAGTGATACGTCTTATAACAATTAACTCGATGCGAAATAACAGAACTTAGTATTATGTAATTTGTGATTGTTGAATTATTGGTAGTAAAGCAATGCAGTTAAGATCTCGGAACAGATGCTAACTGAGGAAACGCGACTGGAAAGCAGGATAACAGAAACGATACATAATTCATCAAGGAGATCTAGCTCATGAAGTTTTAAACAAAATATTAAAAACGACAAGCTTTCTCTTTAACCAATTATATACTTAGTACTAATACTAAGTTCGTATACCATTTTGGTCGGATACCGTACGGTGTAAGCCAGATATGTAGGTAAATGCAACAATGTACTAAAAATAATTCGTAATTAACCGCGACCGCGAGTCTTTTGCGCAAGAAAATAGGGCGCAAGCACTTCCCACGGAGGAAGAACGGTCAACTGAAATTGAAAGTCGCTGGGCATCGGCCGCCGTTATTGCCGGTCATCATCTCCCTTGGAAACTAAGTAGGCAAATACCTTCATCGCGGTTCGAATAGGGAGTCCTCGTCGAGGAGTCTCGAGTTCGAAGTTATCGCGGCCATTTGCGGATTAATGAACCCGCGCGGCCCATGGGAAATATCGAAGTTGAAATAATGCCTAATTGCATCCTGCTATGGCACTACACGTATGGGTACAAAGGTCATCTTTGGCGGCACAACGAGCTACCTACGTCGTACGTCACAGGCGGAACCGCGAAGAAGGAGAGCGTCGTGACCGGCCCCTTCGTTCGCAATAAAACTAATGGGTGTTAATTCTACTTAGTTTCAACGTTCTGAAATATTATCGACCGTGCCGGAAGCGCACCGTAGCGGGTAACGGCCTCTGGTAAAGAAGGTAAAACGCGAACTCGTTCCAGCGGTAATAATTGAAACGTACTCGACCCCCAACATTCGTTGCAAACCACTCGTCCGACCGCGGTCACTAATCAAAGAAACGAATAACCGCCAATTTGGTTACTCTCCTCTTCAAGTTTTATTTTTGCAGAACCTGCTTCCATTGCCAGCCGTCCCCGGAGCTGCAGCCGGAGCCTTGATTAAGCCCACCAAGTATCACTATTTTCCGCATAATCAGCACATCTATCTACTACCAGAGTGCGCCATCCAACAGGTAGGCGAAATTTCTTAAATTTTCCATATTCCACCAAAGTGCAACTTCCTTATTAGCAAAGATGTTCAAATAATTCTGAGATGCACTGTACCTCAACGAACGTAATAGCTTATGCTAATTACGAAATATCCTTCCCTTTCACCAAAGCACCATTCGTACCTAGTAATTGACGCCGGGTTTTCTGTGCAGGTCTGCAACGCCGTCTACGTCCGGCTAAACTGGACGCAACCGCTCTGCGCGTGCCCGTCGAGATACAGAGAACCCTGTTCGGCCAGCTTGAATTCTGACGATCTGCATACGACACAATTGGCAACAAACGGAAACTCCGTAAGTCCATTGTACATCACGAGAGACTATTTACGACTTCATTCAAAACCCGCGCAATTTATGTAATATATGCAAATGAATCTCCGCCGGGAAGCGCTGCTCGAAACGATTATATTGGGCGAGGAAATACCCGATGGTGTCCTCAGGAACCCCGCGATGCCAATCGTACCCAACACTATCTACAGAATATCCCTCGTCCGTCACGAGAAGAGTCATTAAAGCTTCCGCGTAATTGATGGCCGAGCTTATCTTAGCCGACCAGAGTTGGAACTGGCCACGAGTGCTGGACTCCTCTCTAACGATCTAACCGCAGTAACACTTGGGTATTTGCAGTGGTTCAATTAAAATAAGGAATTCTTGATAGGCGCTTAAAGCACCACGTCAAATAGTTAAATAGCCACCCAATATAAACCTTAATCAGTCAATCTCAACCTAAGACTTTTTTATTACTTTATATCGAGATAAACTCGTTTCAACTCATCTCTAAAGTTAATTATTATTTCATACACGTTCAAAACCACTTTGCGATTATCAAGGAGACAATGTCTTAAATTCTAGGTCATGTTACATTGTTGTGGTAACCGAAACATAATTTTTAAACGAAATCATCACAAACACAATTCATAGCTTTATTAATTATTAATTTTGAAAAATCACCAGACGAAACAGAACATCGTGGTTTTTATAAATTAGATAAACTAATATAAAATAATATGGAAATAATATAAAATCGTATAACGTGGTTTCCTGAAGATGGAATTAACACGCCACGAAACCGGTAGAAACTATAAAACGTAAATAAACACATTATATATACATTCATTAACACACACGTTCGATATTAGAAGTAATTTTTTAAGACTACAAAATTACAAATCAATTTTAATCCTTGTAAATGATGATATACAGAGTACAAAATAGCGCTTCTTTATAAACAAGTTGTATGATAAAGATCGTATAACGTGGTTTCCTGAAGATGGAATTAACACGCCGAAACCGGTAAAAACTGAAAAACGTAAATAAAATCTTTCATCGTTAAAGTACGACTGTCATTTGCACATGCATTAACACACACGATGATAAAAGGGAATCAAAACACAAATATTATTAATTATTGTTCGATATTAGAAGTAATTTTTTAAGACTACAAAATTACAAATCAATATTAATACTTGTAAATGATGATATGCAGAGTACAAAATAGCACTTCTTTATAAACAAGTTGTATGATAAAGATAAAATCGTATAACGTGGTTTCCTGAAGATGGAATTAACACGCCGAAACTGGTAGAAATTAAAAACATAAACAAAATCTTTCATCGTTAAAGTACGAGTGTCATTTACACATTCATTAAAACACACGATGATAAAAGAGAATCAAAACACAAATGTTATTAATTATTGTTCGATATTAGAAGTAATTTTTTAAGACTACAAAATTACAAATCAATTTTAATACTTGTAAATGATGATATATAGAGTACAAAATAGCGCTTCTTTATAAACAAGTTGTATGATAAAGATAAAATCGTATAACGTGGTTTCCTGAAGATGGAATTAACACGCCGAAACCGGTAGAAATTAAAAAACATAAATAAAATCTTTCATCGTTAAAGTACGACTCATTTACACATTCATTAACACACACGATGATAAAAGGGACTCAAAACACAAATATTATTAATTATTGTTCGATATTAGAAGTAATTTTTTACGACTACAAAATTATAAATCAATTTTAATACTTGTAAATGGTGATATACAGAGTACAAAATAGCGCTTCTTTATAAACAAGTTGTATGATAAAGATAAAATCGTATGACGTGGTTTCCTGAAGATGGAACTAACACGCCGAAATCGGTAGAAATTACAAAACATAAATAAAATCTTTCATCGTTAAAGCACAATTGTCATTTACACATTCATTAACACACACAATGATAAAAGGGAATCAAAACACAAATATTATTAATTATTGTTCGATATTAGAAGTAATTTTTTAAGACTACAAAATTACAAATCAGTTTTAATACTTGTAAATGATGATATATAGAGTACAAAATAGCGCTTCTTTATAAACAAGTTGTATGATAAAGATAAAATCGTATAACGTGGTTTCCTGAAGATGGAATTAACACGCCGAAACCGGTAAAAACTGAAAAACGTAAATAAAATCTTTCATCGTTAAAGTACGACTGTCATTTGCACATGCATTAACACACACGATGATAAAAGGGAATCAAAACACAAATATTATTAATTATTGTTCGATATTAGAAGTAATTTTTTAAGACTACAAAATTACAAATCAATTTTAATACTTGTAAATGATGATATACAGAGTACAAAATAGCGCTTCTTTATAAACAAGTTGTATGATAAAGATAAAATCGTATAACGTGGTTTCCTGAAGATGGAATTAACACGCCGAAACCGGTAGAAATTAAAAAACATAAATAAAATCTTTCATCGTTAAAGTACGACTGTCATTTACACATTCATTAACACACACGATGATAAAAGGGAATCAAAACACAAATATTATTAATTATTGTTCGATATTAGAAGTAATTTTTTAAGGCTACAAAATTACAAATCAATTTTCATACTTGTAAATGATGATATATAGAGTACAAAATAGCAGTTCTTTATAAACAAGTTGTGACAGATTCGATTAATTTTAATTTGAATATATTTCAGCTTAAGAGGTTTTTATTTTTATTAAAACACCGATTAGTCAATGAGACATCATTTTGTATGATAAATATCGGTCTAAATTTGTAAAACCAGTCGCATTAAATATATCTCAGTCGTTCGCGCGCTATTAACTTTGAACGAAACGTAAAAAATCATCACGATTTATAGTCAGACGATTTTTCTTTAGGATAAAATTACAGTCCGCGGATGCATTACGTTCAAAAAATGAATTTTAATCCCTCGTTCATGAAATATGCAGATATCGTACCGGCGGTATCAAAGGCAATTTGTCGCACATAAATAGACCCAGACTTATTTTTTTTTTGTTTTCTTATTCCCCAGAAAGCCCTCACGTTAGTGAAAACTTGCGAACAAACGGCCGATATGAGACTGTGTAAAGCACCGAGAGATTGGTCTCTTCTGGCTCTCCAGAACATCAGAACGGGGAAATCCCACTACCTGGTCATCTGTAGGTGTACCAGCTCGAGCATCCTCGAGGGACCCATGTCACATCCGCAACCATCGTACGCCAGCGTGCCTGGAATAAGGGTGTACGGGATGGTCTGTGTGAATCACAAGAGGAGAGCAAGAAACGACAGGGGGCGGAAGCCCAGGTCGACGACCGCGATGCCGTTCCCGTGGGACAAGGTCGAGAAGTTCGCGAAAGCCGCTCAATGGGACTGAACATTTGTGATCGCGTGAATCGAAACGCGCCATAAATACGCAATGTTTTAAATTATTTCTCAATTTAACTTATAACTTCTATTTCGTTAGATATTCATTTTTTTTAATAAGAATTTTAGATATTTAAGAACATTTTTGTGTAATCCATTAGATTTAATACATTTTTTATTAAGGCAAAAACGTTTTCGTTTCTTTTTCTTTCCAATTTCAAAAATGCATGCAGTTTCATTATATGTATTATTCCACTTACCTATAACATGCACGTTGACTTGAATATCGGTGGTAAAGATGGGTTCAACAAGACGTTGTTCTTGTTTAACGAAGGCATCGCGTAGGACGTTTTTGACGGTTAAAGGAATGTTGGCCACCCCTTGACCGCCTACGGGAACACTTATTTTATAATCGGTGATCACAAACGCGCAGTTGATTAAAGGTTCTTCGCAAATAGGCCCAGCACGGCAGCAAATCTGAAACCCGTTAACTATCTGATGGTCGTAATTCGATCGGGGATCTTTGTCATCCGGATCTGAAAATATGTCGCGTGCGTAATCGTCCGTGTTATTAATGAGCAAGTTGGTGCTATCGCGTCCGCGGCTAACACTCCAAACTTTTTTTGAGAACTCGCCCCAGAAATCAGACGCGGATTTAAAACACATTTCCATTTGATTTTTGAGTTTCGCCAAAACGCTTTTCATATGATCCGAAACGTTAAGTAAATTCTGCCGATTTTCTTCGATCATTTGTAATAACTTGTAATTATTCTTTAAAAAAATTTCTATTTCGCTTGGTATTGGTACAACGATTACTTCAAAAGTTATTCCTACTTCTTCAATTGCTACTTTAACCGTTGTTTCAGGATTTTTTAAGTTAGGTTTTGGGGCGTAAATAGTTTCTCTTAATGAAACCATCGGCTTTGAAACGTTTATATCAAAATCAATAAATTTACTTTTTAAATCCTCCAAACATTTTGCTAAATGAACATCTCCGGCTGTTACTAAAACGTGTTCACCGGATTCTTGCATTATAACTTGCACGCAGGAGTCGCTTTGAGATAAGTATTTTAATCCTTGGCGAAGTTTTGGTAAATCTTTTGGATTTACTGGCTCGATTGTGTTTCTAACTATGGGTTCCATGTAAATATGCTCGTTTAGAGGTAAAGATAACGGTGTTGATGATAAAGTTGCTGTTCTTAGCACCATTTCGTCTAATCCACTTATACCTCCTATGTTTCCATAAGGTATATCATCCGTTAATAATAATTCTCTGCCTAACATCAAGTATAGTTCATTTATTGTTATTTGCTTGGGTTCGGCGGAATTTAACGGATCATAATCGGAGTCTAAGACATAAATTTGATCATCCTTTTTAAGTGACCCACCAAATATTCTTCCTAACCCCACTATTACATTATCTTGCGTTTTATCAATTTTGACTATATCAGTTTCTTCGTCTTTTTCTAATTTGTTATCGGATGTTATTATTTGTTCTTTTCTGGCTTTAATTAACTCCTCCCTATTTCTCGGTGGAATAAAAACTTTGGCTTTATTTTGCGATAAATTTTTTTTGTTAACGGAAAACGTTTTTGAAACGTATACGATGGACGTTTTCGATTGGGGGTCGCGCATACTTTTTAACATGTTGTCTAAGTAGCTATTTAATTTGGTGTTTTCGAAGTATCGGTTGCTGTAAATTAAATAATTTAATTTTTTTTCGTCAACTTGAAACGGTGACGGGATGACATCGTAACATTGTTGCATTATCACGCCCGCAATTGGGCTCCAAGTTTGTAAAATAGCCTTCACTTGGAGCTTGCTATCTTTGTGATGCATGTCTCTAGTCGGATTTTTTATCTTAAATTTTTCTAAAACAAGTGGGAGTTTGTCTCTTTGCATCCTCGTTATGAAGGTGTAATATAAAAAATAAATCGTTTTTAAGAATAATTGTATAAAAACGTTTTCTTTGCGTTTTTGTATAGCACCAGTTACAATTTTTTTGGTTTCTGATTCAATGTAACAATCGAAATTCCACATCTTTTTGGATAAGGTTTCAGCTGTTTCGCCGACGACTAGATCAAAGAAAGCTTCTGATAAAGAATTGATTGTTACGCCCCAACCGTCCGTAGCGCATGCAAAAATAACATTGCCTCTTTCGGGTGAAAATAAATAAATATCGGGGTCATCAATATTTTCGGCGTCGTATTGACACAATTCGGCTATTATTACATTACAATCTTCGATAACTCGTAGTATAGTTTGAAACATTAATTCAGCGGATTTATGCAACTCCAATACCAAACGATCCATTTTATTTAAAACCAAAATCATTTTAATGTGCTCATCATAAGCTTGTTTAATAGCATCCCTCGTTTGGACGCAAACACCTTCAACGAGATCAACAACAATCAGCGCTCCATCACATATTCGCACAGCTGCACTCACTTCCGTCGAAAAGTCAATATGACCCGGAGTATCAATTAAATTTAAGACCATTTCAGCTGATTTTAAACGATAATATAAAGACACAGCTGAACATTTCATCGTAATTCCTCGTTCTTGTTCATCTTGACGGTCGTCCAAGTATCTTACCTGCCCGGCGGATCTTTTACTTATTAAACCGTTCGTACTCAGCAACGAATCTGCTATCGTGGTTTTACCATGATCAATATGAGCCAATATACACACGTTACGAATTGAAGACGGGTTTCTCATTGCTTCTTTTAAAATTTCGGTGCTAGGTCTATTTGGTTGCATTTTTTTAATTAAAATCTAAAAAAAAAACAAATAAAATATATAAATGTATATACCGGGTGAACCATCAATTTTATCGAAATAAAACCATCATATGAAGTGGGAAAGTATTCTATATGGGATTCATTGTATTTTAGGAGCGCTATTAATGTCTTCTAATTGTTAAGTAAGTTTTTTGATAAGTATGCTATTCCCCATGACAAAATAAATAACTTTTATTTGAAACATTTTTTCATTTAATGAATATTACGCGACTATTACTGGTGGTAGTTGTTTTGCGGCTAGTATGTTTAATGAAGGACATAGTCATCACCATCACCCAGCCTCTAAAGTCTACTGTTAGACGTAGGCCTCCTTTGTTTGCTTCCATAACTCCCGTATAGATAAAGTTGTCCCGTAGATCTCACCCAAGTTTCGACAAGACTAACTGATAAACTGACTAACTGTATTAGGACTATTGAAGAAGAGACATGTAAACCGACATATTTTAGCAATTATCAAAGAATGAAACAGCAACAACGCAACATATATCTGATAAAAGGCAAGGAAAAGACAAGAAAATAGAGGTTTGGTCTTTGCGGGATTGGATTAATCTCGAAAAAGGAGACCGGGACATGGCGCTTACTTTTTTTATATCTCTTATAGTTTCTAAGATAGCCTATCATAACACCCAAATTTGCCCACCCTGTACATCAATCCAGTTAGTGTAGATACGCTTTAAATCGTCGTATTGCCATCTGATTGGAGGACGGCCTCTGTTCCTAAAAACATCTTGTCTTGGTCTCCATTCCATAATTTTCTTGGTCATTGTTTAGCCTCGCAATGTGCTGCGCCCAGTTCCACTTCAAAATAGTCAATCTTTCTATGGAATCCGTGTTTTTTGTTCTGTCTCGTACATCATTCCATTGCTCTTTGTGCGATTCCAATTTTGTGGTACTTTTTATGTCCATTCTTGCTACACGGCCAATCCATCGCAACCATTGCACTTTAATAAATTTAACTATCTCTGGTTCGCAATACTATATATATTCTTCCTCTCGAATCTCCTTACTCCTTTGACTTAAAATGGTAGCCGATTATTCTCTGAAAACTTAGGGTGGTTGATGTATCTCCTATTGTGTATGACGTCCGCAGGGATTACTTTATAGATAAAGTTGTCACGTAGATCTCACCTAAATTTTCGACAAGGTGAGACTAACTGATGTATTAGAACTATTGAAGAAGAGAAATGTAAACCAACATATTCTAGCAATTATCAAAGAATGAAACAGCAACAACGCAACATATATCTGATAAAAGGCAAGGTGATAGCCTCAGCCCCATATTATGCTACGTCATCATGGACGAAATTATTAAAAATGTCAAGACAACGCAAAAACATTCAACATAGTCCTTTTTATTAATTACTAGGTATGTCATCACTTGGGTTTTTGAGATGTTGGTTTTTAATCCCACTTGTTCAGAGGCCGTGTTCATTGCCTGGGCTTTCTTTATGCAATCGGATATTTTCGCCATTTATGTTTATACCTAAATCGTTCCATTCTATCTGTTTGCACACATACTGGAGCAAATTGTTAAATAATCTTGAAAAAATGGTGTCGCTTTGACAAAAACCCTTTTCTATATTGAAGTTGATATAAGTTAACTCGATTTCAACATTTCCTGTTGGTTGATGGTATCGAATGCTTTTTCGTAGTCGACGAACACCAAGACTAACAGTTTATTGGATTGAGAAAGAGTGCTGGGTGTGTTCAGATCATTAAATGGAAACAAATTGCGTAGGGTTTGTAAATCTGTTAGAACGAGGTGCCACAAGTGTCTGGAACAAAAGGGTCGCCATATTGAACAATTTGTTTAAGTGAATTTGTATTTTTATGTCGTAAAATAATTTTTTTGTTCAAATCTGTGGTATAAATAGATTTATTAGGCATGTTATACATTATTGAAAACCTCTTTTTAGGGACTATTTAACTAATCAAAAATCCAATATGGCCGCAATAAGAAAAACAAAATACAGCGCTAATAACTTGGCAACAAATGAATATCGATAGTTTCTGTTCAGACCAAAAAGCTTATCTTAAAAAAGTGTCTTAACATTGTAAGTTTAAAAGCAGTTGTATTAGGCGTTATCGACTTATTAGAAAAAATTAAAATTTGCAAATTTTCCTCAAAAATGAAAAGTTTTTGAATTTGAAATATGATTTGTTGCGAGGATTGAATTCTGCGAAATATTCCTTATTTAACCGTTCTATCTCTTATAATATCCAATATACCAGTGGTGAGCATCGAAATCTGGACACACTGTATATGAGATAACAGGCTAATCGTCTTGGAACTTCCTAGTTTGGTCGTATCGCCTGTCTTATGTATATGAATAATAGTTGCACTGTTCCATTGTGCTCCTTGACTAGCATTCGATGAATAGCAGCTTCAATGCATTTAGTTCTTTTCCTCCTATCCTTCATCTTACTCCGGGGATTTGTTATTTTTCATTTCAGAGAGTGATTTTTCTATTTCGTATGTAGTTATTTCTGGGATGTCTTCTAAGCCCTGGTTCATAATCAAATAACCTCGTATATATTTCTTCTACATAAAAGTGTTTGTTTCTTAGTGCTGATATCTGTTTATATTCCTGGAAGAGTTTCTGGGATATTCCCAAATAATTCTAACCACTCTCTCGATAACTCTCCCTAATACGATTTTCATTTGCCGTTCATTTTGAATTGTTTTGTAGATTATGAATGTGGTTTTGCATCACATATGTAAACACATATAAACACATATGTAGTAGTGAATGAAGTAAATAGTTGAAATTAATTGCATCTTAAAAAAAAAAAATATTTATGCTCGTCTTAATTGTTTGTCTGTGGCTTTACATTAAGGACAGAGTGTACCAAAAAGTGGCAACAACACCGGAAAATATGAGGCAAAAGATGAGGCTATAAGACAAATATAACTCACATAAACACTCCTACACTATTATTGTTACTTGGTTTATACATCCTCTGCACCGGGGAGTTGGCTAAAATATTGGATCTGCAATTCCTCAGATAAAACTTATTGGTACTACGTGTTGTACGCGTAGGTATCGCGAAAATGATCCGCGACAACCACCAACCACAATCCAATTCACCTTCAATTCACTTCTGTAAAAACTTGATACACTTGACGATACACGTGACGTTGCAGCAGGGATGCGTAATCCGTTCCACGATCCGGGTATCTCCTCTGAATTCTTTCCAATATAAGTCTATGACACACATATTGTGGTGACCAAATTACAGAGTCATATTCCATTTTGGACAATACAAAGGTCACAAACAGGGATTTGTACACACTGATGTCAGAAAAGGCACGCAAGGTGCGTAAAACGAAACCAAGCGTCCTTGCTGCAGAAGATAACTTCAACGTGCGGTACAAAAGACAATTTGCGGTCAAAAGTAAGAGGAGACAGCTTGCGTGTAAAACTAACGGTCCAGTCCAAGTCCGACTGAAGACTGAACATCACGGTCCGAAAAAATAGGTCAGAATAGTTTTACAACATCCGCATAAGCTAGTAAGCTAGATGAGAATTTGTCTAGCTAGATGGTCATTCAAGAAGATAACAAATAGTAGGGGGCCTAGATTTGAGGAACACCACACTTAGCTGTAAACTCCATAGCCGTTGTAGTACACATAATTTATACGACCCGACAGGTAAGAAGTGATTAGTTTCATAAACTTAGAAGATAAGCCAAAAGCACTAGGTTTATACAAGAGGACGTCATGATTAGAGGACGCTCCTATCCAAAGATTCACAAATCACTTCAGTAACCATATCACCCCAAGTTGATATGGTTACTGAGGTTGATATAATTTATTTTTTTAAATACAAACTATAGTTGATTATGATGAAACTTTACAAATGCGTTGCATTGACTAATAAAAGGCGTTGCATATTATTAGCAGACCTCTTATACACATATGTAATATGAGCATCGAACTTGGCAAGTATCCAGATTAATGGAAAAAAGGTATAGTTATGCCTGTATTCAAAAAAGAATGTCACACCCAATTTACCCATAATAACAGTACGCACCGGGGCATGCACATCAAACAGCGAAATAATATGAAAATTTATAAAGTCAACTTTGTCACTAATACTGCTGAGTTGAGTTACATGATGCCAGGGAATAGCACTAAGATCGGATGAGAAAGCATCAACATTAAAACTGTGAAAATCATGGAATGACACCAGCCGCGGAGCACTACCATTCACAGAAGCGAGATTCAAGACCACATATACCATGTGATGATCTGCAACATTGTGTATATCAACAACACCAGAGTCAGTAACATCATTAACCGAGGTGATAATAAAATCAATCAATGTAGAAGATGTACCAGTTATACGTGTAGGCGTAGTTACTATTTGTTTAACAGAAAACGCTTCAATTGCTGACAAAAGACGAGAATAAGGACCATCAATATTTAAAGCATTCAGATTGAAATCGCCAAGACAAATTAATTTATCGCAAACTACGAACTAAATGGGGATTTCAGGATGAAGAATTGAGCAATTGAATTTTTAATTGGTATTAAACCGAAAACAATGTATATAATATACAGTGTGTCCCAGGATAGATGTTACAAGAGGTATAATGACTTAAAATTTTTTGAATTTTAATTTGAGGGTGAGGAATTAAGCAGTGCTTGGCGTAAAGAGAATTTTAAGAATATTTTCATATTTTGAAAACAGAGTCGGCCTTAACAGTGAATCAAAAACTGTTTTTAGTTTGGGTAAAGTAACCTTTTTGTTCATGATACGGAAAAATTTTATTAAAAAAAAGTTGTTCAAAATGAGAAATTATGGTCCTATACCAAATTTCAGAAGGATCTATCTACTTTGGTTGAACCATCACATTTTAGTTTAAATAACATAAATATTGTATAACTTTATTTTATTTATAAAAAGTCTAACGTAAACATAACTGTCGTTTATTCAACATAACATCCACCTTTTGTTGCACACTTTTCTATACAATGCCTAAATTCTCTAAAGCTAATTTTTTATTATCGTTATACTTCTTTTTCTCTGTCTTAACGTTAACAACGCTTCCCGAAGTAAGAAATCTCTTAACTATTCGCGTAACAGTCATACGTGTAAGATTGGTATTAGGAAATCTCTCGCTAAACTGCTGCACCACTGCTCTTAGTGTACAGGTGTCCAAATTTCGATGGGTTTGCAGGGTATCTCAGTTATTATGAAAGATAGAAAGTTGCGGCTTTCGCGAACCTGAGCTACTTTTTTGTGCATCCGGAAACGTAAAAACGGGTTTTAATAGATTTTTTCACGTAGAATCCAATGGTGCACGTAGAATTTTTCTAGTCATCACGGTTTTTGAGTTATAAAGAGTTAAGTATTTTAGAAGTTGAGTATACAGTATTTGAGTGGTGTTTATAACTCAAAAACCGTGATGACTAGAAAAATTCTACGTGCACCATTGGATTCCACGTGAAAAAATCTATTAGAACCCGTTCTTACTTTTTTACTAAGTTTCCGGATAGCCGAGATACAGGAGGTGTCTTAAAATTGTAAATTTCAAACACTCCCTATATATCAAAAACGAATAGGGTTATGAAAATTTGGTTTGCGCCTTTGTAAGTTTCACAAAAAAGTAGCTCAGGTTCGCGAAAGTCGCAACTTTCTATCTTTCATAATAACTGAGATACCCTGCAAACCCATCGAAATTTGGACACCCTGTACTTTGCCCAAGCCCATAACACTGCACAACATAAAATTTCTGTTCTAATGTTAACATAATGCAAGAGTAGTTGAAATGTGAACTAAAACTGAGGGATAATACATTTTTTATGGCATTTTTCATTGTTGCTTTTCTTCACCCTGATCTAATCTAAAATATGGTGGTGTAATCAATGTAGGTAGATGTTTCTGAAATTTTGCATAGAGTCTTAATTTTTCATTCTGAACAACTTTTCTTAATGAAATTTTGTTTTGAAAGCTTACTTTACCTGAACTAACAATAGTTTTCGCTTCACTGTCAGGCCAAAATTGATTTTCAAAACATGAAAATATACTAAAAATTTTCTCCACACCAAGCAGAGCTTAATTCCCCACCCTTAAAATAAAATTCAAAAATTTTTAGGTCATTATACCTATTGTAACATCTATCCTGGGACACACTGTATATATCTTTCTTTTGAATACCTTTTTTTGTTGACTTGTACTATGCTAGTGTGGCGATTTTGTATCAATTAATAATATTGTTATTATTATTAGGCATTAAAGATTAATAATTAACTAATTAATAAACTATAGTTTGTATTTAAAACAATACAACTTTGTGTATTGTATCAAGTATGTTTAAAATTGTTCAATGGCAATATATCCTACTTAATAGATATGGCAATATTTCTCTAATTTCAAAAATAAACAAAATATGAGCATTTTTTGAAATCACAAAAAATTGACTTTTTGGCTACAACTTAAAAACAAAAGAACAGGATATGGCATCTACTTTTTTCGTATTTTTTATACTTTCTAAGGTATCCTATAATAATTTGCCCAACCTGTACATCAACCATGTTGTAGACACCAGTATATACTCTAAAGCAGTGCTATTCAAACTATGGGTCGCGACCCACAATGGGGTCGCGAAAAGTTTTTTCGGGGTCGCAAGGTGGATGAAATAATGAGCTATCGTATAGCAAAATCTGGCAAACCGTACACAATTGCTGAAGACTTAATGGCTCCAGCAGCCCAAGATATAGCAGCCATTATGTTTGGCGAAAAGGAAATGCAACAAATATCTCAAATACCACTCTCGGATACAACAGTTAGCCGCAGAATATTTGAAATGGCAGAAAATGTGGAAAACGAAATTATAATGAGAATTCGAAAAAGTAAATTTTTTAGTCTTCAATTGGATGAATCTACGGATTGCCAAAATGTTGCACAACTAATTTGTTTGGCAAAATATGAATACAAAAATGAAGTAGTTGACGACTTTCTTTTTTGCAAGGAACTACAAAGAACTACGGGTGAAGAAATTTTTAAATCGGTAAACTCTTACATCACGGGAAACAATATTTCTTGGGAAAATTGTGTGGGTGTGTGCAGTGATGGAGCTCGTGCCATGGTTGGAAAACACAGCGAACTTCTAGCCCGAATCAAAGAAGTTTCACCCAATGTAACATGGGTTCACTGTATGATTCATAGAGAAGCGGTTGTATCGAAAAACATGCCACCGAACTTAATGTCTGTCTTAGATACTGGAGTTAAAATAATAAATTTTATAAAGGCGTGTCCTCTGAATTCAAGGATTTTTGCGCACATATGCAAAGAAATGGGTAGTGAGCATCAGCATCTTCTTTTACATACAGAGGTTCGTTGGCTTTTGAGGGGTAGGGTTCTAACGAGACTATTTAAACTTAAAGAAGAAGTGTTTGTGTTTTTAAATGATAATGATAGACAAAAAATTTACAAACTTTTTAACCGATGAAGAATGGCTATGTAGGTTAGCTTACTTAAGTGACATTTTTCTCAAATTAAACGTGTTGAATTTAAGTCTTCAAGGTGAACAATTAAATATATTAGTGGCCAATGATAAAATTAAAGCCTTTACAAAAAAAATAGATTTGTGGTGCTCATACTGCAAGGAGAATAATTTTGCAGCATTTCCAACATTAGAATGTTTTGTTATAGAAAACAAGTTCAAAGTTATTCAATCGATTGTTAAAGATATAACATCTTCACTTGACAGATTTAAAATGTCAATTTAGTACTTATTTTCCGGAAGATTTTTCTAACTTTGACTGGAGTCGAAATCCCTTTCAATGTAAATTACCCAAAAATGTGTCATTTCATTATAGTGAAAAACTAATTGAGTTATCATCTGATGGAGAATTAAAATTAATTTTCAAAGAACTTAAATTGAGCAATTTTTGGCTTAAAGTTCGAAATGAATATCCAGAACTGTCTGATGAAGCTCTGAAGGTATTATTACCATTTGCGTCATCTTATATGTGCCAGTTGGGATTTTCCCAATTTCTCTACCTAAAATCGAAATACCGAAACAAAATAGCAATAGAGCCAGCTTTAAGACTCAAATTGAGCAAAATAGAGCCAGATATATCAGCACTTGTAAATAAGAAACAGGCTCACAAATCTCATTAAATATTTTTCTTTTGTGTTGATTTTTGATGAAGTTCCTACGTGTACGCCATATTATAATTTTAATAGTTACAAATCGTTAATGTTGATTTTGAACCTAATATTTGTTAACTGCAGAGTTGATATTCTGTTTATTGTAGGTACTTGTTTTAACATAATATATTTGCTATGTATGAAACAAAAAAAAATAAAAACAAATTAACATCTTCTTGATATAATAATACCTCTCCCAATTTTTGGAACAACTAGAATTAAATTATTATTTTAAGTTTGGGTCGGCATGTCACCTCTGTGTACCATTTGGGGTCATGCAGCCAAAATGTTTGAATACCACTGCTCTAAAGAATTGATCTGCAAAAGCATTAACTATTTTATAAAGATTAATGTAGGTGGATTTATCACAAAAAATTTTGCCAGGAAGTTGAGAGGTTGTCTTATATAACTCTGCCTTAAAAGTTATGGGGATCAGAACTAAGCGATTATTTAGCATTAATAATAAAGGAAGTACACATCAGAGATTTTCTGTTTAGTCCTTTATATTTCGCTTGATCCTACTCCATGTCTTCCTATAATACTCTTTCAACTTTAATAGCCCCTTAATTTCATATAAAAGTTATTTATTATCATGGAGAAGTATTCTTTTGAAGAAACTTACTTAATGAACGACATTGGTGGCGCTTCTAAAATGCCCCCTTCATATAATGAAAGTTTTATCTGAAACTTTTTCGATTTATGAATTATTAAATTGTCTATATAAGTGTATATAACATAAAAAGTCTTACTTAAGTTAAAACGGTTAAATATATACTGAAATAACAACTTAAATTATAAAAAAATTATAAACACCACACTTTTGTAGGTTAGAATTTTTTGACAGTTTGATTTGACTATTTTAAATTGCGCCATCTATGTTTCGCTAGCTAAAGTAGGCGGTGATATAATAGGAATTTGATAGTCGAATTAGCGTATTATTTTACATGAATGTAAACAATTTATTTTAGTTTTTGATTAACAATTATCTAATCTCTATTTGAAAATAAACAAGAAATAAGACATTGTTTGGTTTACCAAAAAAAAAAGTAAAAGCGGAATAGTAAATTAATAATTGATCGGATTTATTAATAGCTTTTCGTAGTTATTTTTGTACCGAAATAATAAGTGATGATTTCGCGGCGATTTTAAAGCGAAAATAAAAGCGGACGTTTAGTTTTCATTAAAGCAAATAACGCAGATAATAGTTAATTAAGTATGTAAACAGCTGTGAAGATCCCGCGTTAGGATAAAATATTGTTGTTGAACGGTAACTGAAGTACCGGCCGAGCTAAAGCTGCGCATTCCATTAAAAGCGTATGGCTGTATACAACAGCGAAGAATGTATTGTTGAATGTGGTTACGATAAAAATCGCACCGGATTATTGTAAAATGTGACTGATCCGCGTGTTCTGAAAAATGGGACGGTCAAAATTTCCGGGTAAACCATCGAAACATGTCAATAGAACCCGCATAAACGTACTGTGCACACCGCTTCAGACAACAACAGTTGGTGATAGTAACAATGTTGTGACAGTTGATACGAATGAATCGGAAAAGGTAAACATTGTACATTAATACCGTCATTCTAAACCTTTATTACAACAAACAGCGACCACGATAAGTATCCAACAAAACTTCTCACTTTTATATACTTCTCAAAATAGCTAAATACTATTGGCGTAAAGCCCCTAAATTTTTTACTTTAAAGATCTTATAAACTTTAATCATTTACTTAATATCGTTGTTTTACTCTTTTTAGCTTGTGTTTGATTTTAGTTCTTACAACAGATATCTGGAGATATGACAAAATGTTATCGAAGGAAAATTATTCCACACTTAATATTCTATTATCTGCTGCATCACAAAAGCAAGTGAGCATCAAATATGTTAGACACAGCCATTTTAATAATTTTAAATGGAACATGCCCAATTATTAGCATATTTATTTTATGCTCAGAATACTGAGTGTTACTATTAAGATCATGGTAAACTATGCATTCATTTAATTTTCATATATTTTTTGATATTTATGCATTTGAGAGCAAAATCTCTTTCACTTTTGCTCTCAGATACCTAAATATAGAAACTGTTACCTTTTAGAAACAGATTTGTTGCTTCATAAACAAAGTGGTGAAATTTTGACATTGAAAATGGAATTATTTCATTTCTAGAATGCTTTTCAGTTTCATTGAAGCACATATAGCCTTGTAGTATTTTGACCACCAGTTATTATAATTATGGATCATCATGGAAAACTAAGCATTCATCTAATTTTCATACACTTTTTAATATTTATGAATTTGAGAGCAAAATCTCTTTAACTTTTGCTCTCAGATGCCTACATAGAGAAACTGTTACCTTTTAGAAAAATGATCTGTTTTTAGAAACAGATTTGTTGCTTCATGAAGAAAGTGGTGAAATTTTGACAGTGAAAATGGAATTATTTCATTTCTAGAATGTTTTTCAGTTTTATCAGAAGCTCATGTAGCCTTGTAGTATTTCATATTTTCATATTTTCCTACACTTTTTGATATTTATGCATTTGAGAGCAAAATAGTCCTCTTTCAGTTTTGCTCTCGGATGCCTAATTATAGAAACTGTTACCTTTTAGGAAAAAGATCTGTTTTTAGAAACAGATTTGTTACTTCATAAACAAAGTGGTGAAATTTTGACACTGAAAATGGAATTCTTCATTTCTAGAATGCTTTTCAGTTTCATTGAAGCACATATAGCCTTGTAGTATTTTGGCCATCAGTTATTATAATCATGGATCATCATGGAAAACTAAGCATTCATCTAATTTTCATACACTTCTTGATATTCATGCATTTGAGAGCAAAATAGCCCTCTTTCTCTTTTGCTCTCAGATGCCTAAATATAGAAACTGTTACCTTTTAGAAAAAAGATCTGTTTTTAGAAACAGATTTCTTGCTTCATGAAGAAAGTGGCGAAATTTTGACACTGAAAATGGAATTCTTTCATTTCTAGAATGTTTTTCAGTTTAATCAGAAGCACACGTAGCCTTGTGGTATTTTGGCCACCAGTTATTATAATCATGGATCATCATGGAAAACTAACCATTCATCTAATTTTCATACACTTTTATATTTATGCATTTGAGAGCAAAATAGCCCTCTTTCACTTTTGCTCTCAGATGCCTACATATAGAAACTGTTACCTTTTAGAAAAAAGATCTGTTTTTAGAAACAGATTTGTTGCTTCATGAAGAAAGTGGTGCAATTTTGACACTGAAAATGGAATTCTTTCATTTCTAGAATGTTTTTCAGTTTTATCAGAAGCACATGTAGCCTTGTAGTATTTTGGCCACCACTTATTATAGTCATGGATCTTCATGGAAAACTAAGCATTCATCTAATTTTTATATTTTCATACACTTCTTGATATTTATGCATTTGAGAGCAAAATAGCCCTCTTTCACTTTTGCTCTTGGATACCTATATATAGAAACTGTTACCTTTTAGAAAAAAGATCTGTTTTTAGAAACAAATTTGTTGCTTCATGAAGACAGTCGTGAAATTTTGACACTGAAAATGGAATTCTTTCATTTCTAGAATGTTTTTCAGTTTCATCAGAAGCACATGTAGCCTTGTAATATTTTGGCCCCCAGTTATTATAATTATGGATCATTATGGAAAACTAAGCAGTCATCTAATTTTCATATTTTCGTACACTTTTTGATATTTATGCATTTGAGAGCAAAATAGCCCTCTTTCACTTTTGCTCTCGGATGTCTAAATATAGAAACTGTTACCTTTTAGAATAAAGATCTGTTTTTAGAAACAGATTTTTGACACTGAAAATGGAATTCTTTCGTTTCTAGAATATTTTTCAGCCTTGTAGTATTTTGGCCACCAGTTTTTATAATCTATGACGTCTTCTGTTGCAACTTCCTTTACAGTAAAAGCGTTTTTGGCACTGGAAGTTATAATAAGTTCAGTGAATGTATGGACTCGGTCAACTTTCCATAAGCTTTTCTTAATCATTGGCAAGGGGTAACACTTCTGCACCTTTTGAAACCTTCAAGGTTCAAAACCTTCAAACTTTCAGTTAAGGCAAGGCCTCTTATTATGTAGTGATTCTTGTTTTGCCCTGGATAATTATCAGAAAACAATTGGAGTTCTTGTACATCAAAAGAAACATACTTTTCTATATACTCCATTATGAATGTAGTGACTTTATTAGGGCCTTTTGCAGCTACACCCTCATGGTAAATATAAAAAAAAAGGATTTGTTTGTCTTTAAGTCGTGAATGCAGAACACACACTTAATTGAGATAGGTAAAAAAGATCTGTGGCGGTTGTAGCTTCTACATGTAATCAAATATCTCGTCGTTCTTTACATTCTTGGGGATAGTCAAAATGCAAATTAAAATTGTCATGAAAGAACTTAATGTAGTAACCGTATTTCGTTTTGTGCCTAGAAATTTTTTAAGAAATAACTCATACTTCTTGTAATTAATGTATTCAATTCCGGAGACACGAGCATTCCTTATAAAATTTCTAAAACCTTTGCGACGCTTTTGTGCAGGCTCTATAGCGTCTTCTTTTTATGCAGCTTCTATAGTAACTTGCTTTATTGCTTTTCATAATAATGATTAATAATTAAGTTTGACACACTGTAGCAGCAACTTATTTTGAGGTTAAGTTTGAGCATGGTATGGCACGCCAGACCATCATTTGTAACAGAAACAACCTAAGTCGGCGAATTTTGTTGTTTCAGCAGTAAACAGCTGTGGCGACATGGTTGTAATTCGGTAACAGTTATCAGAACATAAGTTCTTTCAGCTATGTTTTCAGCAAAAACAACATGGAATGGTCGATTAAGACACAGTAAGATGTATCCTACTGGCGCAGTCACCTTCAGGTCCTCGAGGTGTGTCTTTGGCCAGCGGGCGTTGATGGGCCTTTTGGTGATGAGGTGGAAAATGTTTTGCCAACCACTAATACACAGTAAGATGTATTGCCTAAATAACTCAAAATGGCCAAAAAGTTGCTTAGGTTGTTTCTTTTCAAATCTATGGTCCAAGTCCATTATGTAGGAAATATCGATCTGCATAGTGTTAAAAAATAGAAAAAAAATACAAATGAATACTAATTATTTATTCACTTAATCCCATAAAAATACATAAAGAAATTCCACAATATGAGCATATAAAACAGATTTCTCTTCTTTTCACAACCCTATGTTGTCTCATATTTGCTGAAAGCCTCATTGGTGCATCTTCGCGAAAGACTCTCTTAGTTGCATTTCCAGAACATATTCATTTTCAATCCAATCTTTGCAACTTGTTTGAAAAAAGACGAAAATTTTCTTTTCTTTTCTGGATTTAGGACCTTGAATACGACAAATGAATTGGAGAGAGCACAATTTAACATAAACATAAAAACCTTCTTTGTCCATTTGACACTTTTTCTTATAATTGGATTACAAGCAAGGTGTTAGTATTGGTAAAATATTGTATTATTGATTCTACTTTGAAAAGTCGATTTGCACCCTCAGACATTGCATTATTATCACAAAAATGTAGTAATTGTAGTATTTGCCTAAATCTATTTCTGCTCATGATTTTATCATAAATTGGTGTTTCCATGTACGGATCAGTAGTCCAGTAATCGTTCAAAATATTTTTTCCTGGCTTGTCCTATTAATATATTGAAAGGTTATATTGAAATCTTGTCACTTTTCCGTCTTTTTTACACATTTATATTTATGCATATTTTGCATATAGTATCTATTTGTCTCTGTTACTAATAATTAAAAAAAATCTTCACCTATGAACAAATCCGCCACTTCTGAAATATTTTCTACAATTCTTGGGAACACTTTAACACCAGAATTTTCCACAAACGAATTTACAGTAATATAATAATTCTGTTCCTTTTCTGGTAGTTAGGAAGTCTGAATCATCTTCATCACATTGAACCCCAGATAATATATCGGCACATACCTTAAAGAATCAAAATTCTTTGTCAAAATGACAAAGTCGTCTTTTTCTGCATTTGAGAGCAAAATAACACTTTTCACTTTTGCTCTCAGATGCGTAAATATAGAGCAAAATATGAAAATTTGCTGAATTCGTAGTTTTACAAGTTATTAATGGTCGGAATTCGAAACAGAATTCGGTCGACATCAAAGACATCGGCCGCTGTAAGTATTGTTCATGGTACTTGGGGCGGCCGACGTCTTCGAAGTCGGCCGAGATTATTTCTTATATCACGAGCAATACGTAAGGCGGTCGACGTCTACAAAGTAAACAAAGGTAAAAAATTAAGCTTTGTTATATTAATATAACATTTAAAATGGCCAAAATTAATATCATAATAAAACACTCTGGATTCCGACAAAAAAACTTTTAGAACAAAAGTTGTAACAAATTTTTTGTTTAACAATATTGTTCTCTTTCAGTTATGCTCTCAGATACGTCAATATCGAGAAAAACATTTGAAGTTTAATTGTTTTTTAGAATAATGCAACTCTCCTTCTATAATATTTTGTCATATCTCCAATAATAATCAAGATATCTTACAGCTAAAATACACTGTGTTAATTAATAATCCTACCCAACGTCATGCAAGTATGCAACATAATGCGCGATTTGCGTATTACAATACCCACACTGTGATATTGGTTGCATATCTGCAATGATGACGTCGGGTACGATAATTAATTAACACACTATGTTGTATATATAAGAATTAGCCTCAAAAATTTCATTCATCCATATGCATTTATGTTTATAATATAGGAAGTGATTCAACAACCTGAATTGAGTACTGATGATCAAAGGGAAATTGAAGAAGATGAATCAATACCTCGGCGAAAACGTGCAAAGTTATTAAAGAAACGAGCTGCTGCGCTGAAACGAAATGGAATGCTCCAAGGAAAACTGTCGGGGCAAGTATCGCGAAGAACGCGGAGCGCCGTTACAAATCGTCGAAATATGTGCGGTTTTTCATCGATACGCGGTAAAGTGTCGAAGACGAAACTGTCGGAGACGAGTACTTTTGGAACGGTTGGTAAATTTGTTTTGCCAAGCCGAAGCGTGCACTCCTCGCGTGTGATTAAACCGAATAAACGATTTATAAATGTGGAGTCAAACGAGGCGCGCGCGTTTAAAAAACGTGTTAATAAACGTCTGCGAGTACGCGAGGAAGATGTTGGCGAAGGGGAAAAAGAAGAGAACGATATTGAGGATAACGAAGAAGAGGCGAAAGAGAACGAAGTCCTCCCCGCGAAGCAAAATGCGAAGGGAAAGGTTGTGTTGCGACAGGCGCGGTTACAATTACATACGGAAAATATGTCGATGGAAGGTCCATTTTCGTGCAATTCTACGAATAGTTTAAGCAGTCCACCAGGAACGGTTACGTGTGGTGTATGTGGCGCCGTACGGTTTTATAGATTTGTTAAGCAAGCTCGGAAATTTAATATATACAGTTGTGAATCATGTCGAAAATTCATTTCAAAAATGATTAAACGGCAGAATAATTTAAATTCAACAAACAGTTCGATATTAGTTTGTCATAACGGACAAGGAATGTGCCATGTGCCGCCTATAGTACGTAGCCAACAATGGAAATTATTCAGGTGCGCGTATCGCGCACGTTGTCCCGCTTGTTGGTTAAAAATGTGCCTGAAATCCTTCCAAATGCCAGCCGGTTTACGCAACAGTTTAGCACAACTCTTGCCGAAAAATATGCAAACGTACGATATTTTATTTACAAACTCTTTCTCATGGCAATCTTCGTCCACAAACTCCGCAGACGTACAGTCTACATCAGCAGTGGATAAAATCTCAATCGTTGCAAACAAAGACGACGAGGAAGACCTCGCCGTTCGGAGACGACCAATTAGGCAAAGCGCTCTTAAAAGAGATACCACAAAACCGCCCACAATACCAACTCAACCCGAAATCAAACGTCAAAAAATCGATCTGAAAGGACCGCGCGTCAAACACGTCTGCCGGAGTGCTTCTATTGTCTTAGGACACCCCATTGCAACATTTCCTCTTGATACAAAGAAAACAGAACTCGACGAAAAACCCGATACCAAAAAAATCGAACGGGAACCGAAAACTTTGTTCAGAGAAGACAGCGACGATACATCGCAATCTTCTGGTTCTATACGAAGCAAAAACGATATGAAATCCGATTTAGCAAAAGTTCGAAATAATAAAACTTTCATTACTACTTCAAACAATAATAATGTAGCCCCCGAAGTTAAGCCGGTGTCGTACATTAAAAAGAATTTAATATGCCGTCGTAACACCATAGCAATCGATTTTTGGGAAAACTACGATCCAGACGAGATTTGTCGCAACGGTTTCGGATTAATGGCTTCGGAAATGTTCCCAATGCGAGCGATTTGTTTCTTATGCGGTAGCGCCGGACAAGAAACGTTGCTGCATTGCCTCATTTGCTGCGAGCCTTATCATCCGTACTGTCTTGAACAAGTTCCGGCTAATTTCCCCGTCGATGGAAAACACGATTGGCTTTGCCCGCGATGCACCACTTGTCATGCTTGCGGACTTGCCGATCGCCAAAAAATCAACTGTCTTAAGTGTCACAAAGCGTATCATCCCAATTGTTTTAATTCCATGTGGAAACGAGATGATAGACCAACGGTAAGTACGATTTTTAGTTATGTCAATCCTCTAGAATTCCATATCATCTCTCCATATTCTCTTGGATCTTATCTCTCCTTGTTTTTTTGCAGTACTTTCGCCAGTACTCAATTCTATTGCACTTATTCTATTATTGGTCTTAATGTTATTTAATGTTTTTAGCGCATTAACTGGCATATGTACATATTGTCCCTAAGTGACATGATGCATTTCTATGTTAGAACAAAAAATGTATTATTTCAAAGTAACAAAAACAAACAAAATTTGATTACAACAATATTGAGTTGATTGTCTAAACAGTGATTATCTTGGAAACGGAGAACTTTAGAAAAGATTAGTAGTTTACCAAATTTATGTAAAAATGTCTCAGAAACAATTTCAGGTTGTCTGAGTTATAAAAATTCTAACGATAAAAAAGATATGACTACTTTAAGACAGTTTTTTTAGGGTAGGCAGCGAAGAAAGATAGATCAAAACTAATACCAAATTGCTATTTATCGTCTTAAAAAATGATAATGTACCAATTTTCATGCTCATAATTTAAGAAAATGTAAAATTATTAAAGAAAAACGAAAATAAAATATTAACTTTAACTACTAATGGACCACCCTGTAGATATTACAGAGCGGTTCATAGGTTAGATAATTTGAAGGCAGTACTGTACCTTTTCCTTATATTTTTCTTAGCTTATTTTTATTTTCTGGCATTAATTTAGTTTATGTTGGCGGATAAAAAAGTGTAGATGATAAGGATTATATTTCGTTATTGTATTCATTTTATTTTGTAATTAGGTTAGGTGTGATGCGTTGAATTTAGTTAATGTGGAGTTTTTTTATTTATTTATAATCTTTGGGATGTAAACAGGACAAGCCCAGCGAAGCGTCCACTAATAATACATAAGAGAACAGCAACAAAAAAGTAATGTTATATATATATAAAAGTAAACAAAAACCAGCAAAAGGAAAAAAAGAAAAATTAACAAAAAATAAAGTAATAACAAAAACAAAATGACAATATGTTTAATGATATTAATAATAATATCAATATCAACGACTCGCTGTTTTTCTTGAATGTCGCCGTAGAGGTGTTGAACATATCGAGACCAGAGCAATAGCGATTAAACGTGTACATAAGGCGTGGAAAATAAAATAAAAACCATGTATTAACTTCTAATTATAAATGCAAGTTAGAAGTTAATACATGGATAACTCCTTCACCGAAAATAAAGACAAGTCGCGAGATGGTCGAACAGGAATTTTAAATTTTTACTCACACAAAATCGCGGAGCAGTCAATAAGGCCATTACGCACTTTATGAAGTTGGGTTATGTCATTAATACTGCGTTTGGAAGAGAGCGGTATGAGACCAAAAACTGTGCATCGCTGCGCATAATTACAATACGGTAAGCAAAATTAAATACCGAGCAAAACGCTTCTGGACTTGTTCCAAGCGGTCGATGTAGGTATGATATTGAGGGTTCCAAACGCCAGATGCGTAATTAATGACATAGGAAACAAAGGCAAAATATAGTGAACGAATACAGGACAGATATAAATCCGAGCATGCGGGAAGCCTTATTAACAAAATATGACTCCAAGGTCTCTCACGCATTCGGTATTTATTACTCATGTAACCTGTTTAAATCGTCTTGCAGTTTTGCACAGTCGTCGGTAGAACAGATGCGGCTAAATATCTTGCTATCATCGACGTAAAGGAGAAAATTTGAATGGTGACAGCATGCATGGATATCGTTAATGTAGAGTAGAAAGAAAAGCGGCCCCAGATGACTACCCTGAGTGACGCCAGAAGAAATATCTAAATACAGAGCGGTAATTACTTATGCTAACAGCCGGAGATGTAAGATGAAATCCAGGAAATTAAACCAGTTGGAATGTCAAAATTAATAAGTTTAGTTAAAAGGATCCCATGATCAATTCTATCAAACGCCTTGCTATAATCGTTGTATATGGCGTTTACCTGGCAATTATCATCAAGAGAGCTTAGTAAAAAGTTGGAATAAGAGATTAGATTAGATTCCACTGACCTGCCTCCTTAGAACCCATGCTGTTCAGGGATTATAGATGATTTAACACTATACATAATAAGATCGTAAACAAGACGTTCAAAGACTACGTTGCAAACTAAATCACGTTCACCACTTTTATGTATAGGGAGTATTAAGGCTTTCTTCCCTTCAGAAGGGAAAGTGACAGTATAGAGAGAAGTTTTGAAGATATATAATAACGCTTCGAACAAATAAAATAATAAGAATACGAATAAGAACAAGCCGGCATTGGGGTTCACAAGTAATAGCACGCGGTCCAAAGAGCCATCAACAAAAACAGAACCAAAATAATCAGCGAATAGGTCACAGACATCCTACCCGCCATCCACCGTTCGTTCGCGATAAGTCATTCTACTGGGAATGCTCATATTATTACCCTTTTTTTAGACTTAGTATAAGACCAACATATTAGACTGTGTGACGTCAAGAAAAGTCCTATAACCGGCAGTAATTAATGTTTTAGTGAGAGCTCTAAGCAAGCGAAACGTTTCATAATAGTTATCGCAACCTGTGGACTTCCACTTTTTATGATATTTTAGCTTTTCTTTAATGGCTTTGATAATAGACAGCGAATACCATGATGGAAATCTACGTTTATGAACAGTTCGATGAGGAATATGCACCACGGATAATTGAGTAAAACATATTATTATTTGCGGCACCAAACCGCAAATCCCCATAGTCGGCATTATGGAAGTGATATTTATGCAAGCAATTTTCGCGAAGGGGACGCAAGGAAGAACAATTGATGCAAAGTGCTAAAGCGGGGTGATGGCAGTCCAGTTGTGTAGAAATAAAGTCAGAGTTCCCCGCTGGTTTTTTTGCAAATTTCACCATGCTCTTTAAAACTCCATATCTCAGCCAACGTACAATGGCAAAAAGAAAAACGAATTTTTTCTTTGCGGAAAAATAAAAAAAACTTTTGCGTCGACTATAGTCGGAGTCATGATGTGCTTTGTATATAACAGCATTTCTCCTTGTTCTCCTCACTGTTTTGCAATGCCTTAATAGCGTCTTCTACGTACGCCATTTCAAACTGAATGATAACTGTTTCTTTGACAAATCTGATCCTTATTGGTAGACGAGAGTTGCTATCACTCCAATCGCCATCTAAAATGTGTTTAGCTGTATGGTCCAATAAATCCTGCACTTTAATTTCAGCGCATATTTCAGTTATCGAATCTTTCGCCGGATAGCAAGTCTTTTATTGTTTCTGCAACAATGTGTAGCTCGGATAAAACCTGTTGCTATCTCTTATTATTCCATACTGTCGCCTTGAAAGACATCGGGCTTTCGGGTCTAATTGTGACTGCTTTTCACACTGCTTGCTTGCTTTCTATGCCTTTTGATGCTATTGCTGTCTGCGGAGAGTTAGAAATGTCTTTAAAAATATTGGACGCATTCTCTCACCAGAACTTTGAAGGGATGTTTGAGCAGCATGCATCTTTTTTGACATCTCTCACTTGATTCTGCAAATCCCTTTGTAGGACGACCAGAAGAATGAGGTTTAGCCGTCGGCGTCGGAATTTCGAATATTTCTTGTAGACATTTATTATTCTTTTCTCCACCTTTTCTTAAATTGAGACTTTAAATAAGAGAATGAATGCTTAATATAACTACTAAGATAAACCAACTTTAAGACTTGATTCTGCATTTTGTCAAAAAATAGTCTACGCGTTATCACTTTAACCCCAGAGGTATTCTCTGATTCTTAAACAAAATGAGAATTTGTTTCAAAGAAATATAAATAAAATAGTAAAATTAGGCGGTCTTGCACTATATCATGTCTCAATGTTTTTAATTAGATAAAATACTTGGTTCTATGTAAAAACTAATAAAACTAAAGGGACGGACCATGAAGTGTAATTGCAAAAAAAATAGAATTTACTGCGTTCATCATCCAATAACCAATAAGTCGTATTCCTCTTCCCCACGTACATCACTTTCTACAAATTTCACTATATCTTTATTATATATAATTAAAAATAAAATTAATTTGTGTGTTATTTTTGATGTAGGTGTGTTCTAATTGTTTGAGATGTAAAAGTTGCGGCACGGAGAACATAAAGAAGTTTGTGGGGAACATTGCACTTTGTCACGTCTGCTTCAAATTGAGGAATAAAGGAAATTTCTGCCCTTTGTGTCAGAAATGTTATGATGATAACGATTTCGAAACAAACGTTAGTTGGATTAATTTTGTTACGAATATTTTTTATTAATTTTTGTTTCTTAGATGATGGAGTGTGCAAAATGTAAAAAATGGGTCCACGCAAACTGCGAATCACTAGCAGAGGAACAATACCAAATTTTAAGTTTGCTACCGGAGTCGGTGGAATTTTTTTGTCGTCTTTGTTCGAACCAATCGACGCCATATTGGAAAGAAGCGATTTGTAACGAATTGAAAGCTTCGTTTAATCACGTTTTACGTCTTCTCAGCAAAAATCGCCAAGCGAGAAATATGTTGAAATTAAGTCCGTATAAAGTAATGAATGTAACCGGGCGAACGCCGATGGCCGTTCGTAAATTACAATTTCGAGAGGACGATATTGATATAAACGATAATAAGGAGTTGAGTAAAGAATCTCAAGACGAGGATAATCTAAAACAAGAATCTAAAACGCCGGTTTCGCCGACGATGGTCGATATTAAAAATAAATTAAACTCGAATGAATACGTTTCGTTGCAAGAATTTAACGCGGGGATGGAACATGCTTTAGAAGCTGCAGATTCCGAGTTATTAACCATTTATCGTTCCGTATTAAAAGAGGTTTTTCCGTGGTATAATCCAACGGATAAGTTGAAAGAAGAAAATGTTCAAACTACAACGAATAATGTACCTTTACAAAGCTCTCTCAATACTCCGAAAAGATATAAGTTCGATAACAAGGATAAAGATGATAAAGTAGATAATAGAACGTGTGGTTTGTGTAAAATTATTGGAGATGGTTTACCAGATCACGAAGGACGTTTATTGTATTGTGGACAAAACGAATGGGTGCACGCAAATTGTGCCTTGTGGTCATCTGAAGTGTACGAAGAAATCGACGGTTCACTTCAAAACATTCACGGAGCGTTATCGAGAGGTCGTCTTATAAAATGTGCCGCGTGTAAACAAAAAGGTGCCAGCGTGGGATGTTGCGAAAAAGGTTGCCACGAAACTTATCATTTTGTGTGCGCCCTAAATTCAAATTGTCACTTTTTGCACGACAAAACGGTGTATTGCTCAACACACGACGTCAAAAACAAGCAAAACTTATTAACTTGTTCGACTGATTTTGATATTCGCCGATCGGTTTACGTTGAAATCGATCGGAAACGCAAAAAGTTTTGCGAACCCGACAAAATACATTTTATGGTTGGATCTTTATCGGTGACAAATCTTGGCAAAATTATTCCACTTCTATCTGATGATTTCGACGCGTTGGTACCCTTAGGTTTTGTGTGTTCTAGACTCTTTTGGTCCACAATGGAACCCTGGAAATTAGTTCCTTACAACATCACAACAACAATCTTAAATTCGCAAGTAAACAGCGTTTACATTGATAAAAATTTCACCGTCGATCATTCTTTGTCGAAAAACGACGTCGAAGAAAAATTTAAAGAAATCGTTACTTGGCAAAAAGATCTGAGCAAAGATAACGCCGAATCTGAATACGAAGAAGAACAACAAGCGACAGATTTATTCTCCCCGGAAATAACCGACGAAATTTTTGCCGATTTCCCTCAAGACCTCCTCGACGGTTTTTCCGAACAAGATATGATGATGTACGATGATCTTTTAAACATGGAATTCAAATCCGACATGAATCTTAACGATAACATCATCAACCCCGATAAAAAGGATTTCTCAGAAGAAGATAGTGACAGCAAAACATCGCGGGAATTAAAACGAAGCAAATCGGAAGTATTTAATCAATTCGGAAATAAAAATCGAAGCCATCAGCGATCTTGCAGCTTAACGTTGAGTTGCAAATTAGATAATTCTTTAACCCCCGCAATTAAAAAGCGAAAAATTAACCCTAGAGACAATATGTTTTTTCAATTATTACAAGTCGACGGTGCGTGCGATTCGAGTGGGAGCGAATGTGGGTCTCCAATTCACGAAACGGAACACATGTGGACGTGCGAATCCTCGGAAGAACCGGTTACTTGCGAACGTTGTCAATGCACGTATCGTACGAGAGCCAGTTATAAGCGCCATTTAGAAGCTTGCGACGCTTTATCAACCAGCGAAAGTGACTCGGAAGAACATCACAATAACGAAAATCTTATAATAACGCAAGACGTTATTAACTCAACCCAACCCAACGTTATAACATCATTCGAATCGTTTAGTTCGTTCCAAACGACGCAAAACGAAGTGCATTCGACCATTTTAAACACTCAAACTGTGGTCACGGAAGCGACATCCGAAGTTATCACTGTACCTGAAAACGCCAACGTTATTTATCCCACGTTTCAGCAGCAAGTTGTTGAGCACAAAAGTAATGTCCCGACAATAACTCACGAAGGAATTACTTTAAACGGCTTAATCCAAAACACCGAGACTTTAGAGGAACACTCTCAAACAAACAGCAACATAACGATTAATCAAACGCAAATGTCAACAACCCAACCAAGCTTTTGCATAAATCAGCAACCCATTTGTATGAACCAATCGAATTTATCGCTTAACCACGGATTAATTTCCTTGGATTCGAACTCAATTCCCATAACGATAAATCAATCCGGTTCTATTTCCCTAAATCAAAACTCTTTACCCGTCGAAATCCAACAGCCGGTTACGATACAATCGCTTCCGTTCACTACACCGGAAGTCGCCACACCGATATTAAACATAACGCCCCAAAACCAAATCACAATCGACGCCAAAATGTTGCCATGTTCCAACATCGTAAATTCCGTTGTAGCCCAAACTGTAACAGTGCCCCAAAACCAATTATTTAAATCGTTAATTAAACCGACGATTGTGGCGCAAAAATCGATTCGGCCGCGAGCTAAACCAAGAAATTTAGCCGCCAAAACTAACCGATTACCCACGGGGAGTACGATAATCATGCCGCAAACGAGTCAATCTGCACCGGTTATTGTGCAACACCTCCCAACGTCGAATATGGTCCCGTTTGTAGACGCTTTCCAACAACAATCGGGTCAAAACGTTCAATATGTTGCAACAATCGCGCCTCAACCGCACCTCGTCCAAATACAACCCGAAAATAATTTTTTAAGCCTCGTAAATGGAGTCCAACCAACAATGATTATTCAACAACCCCGCGTAGTCGCAGACCAATTAATAGTAGACGGAAACGGCTCTATGGTGTGGGCCACGCAACCGGTTCAACCAGTTTATTACGGCTTCGAAACGATCGTCCATAACACCGTTATGCAATCACAACAATATTTACCTACAACAATGCCCGGCGTACTTACAACAAATAGCAGCTATTCCGCAACAACCCAAGTATTCCAAACGAGCAAATTAGAACCGGTTATTGATGTCGGCCAAGGCGGATTTGTGTTGGTTAATTCCGGACAAACGGTGAATCCAACGATTCAAATGCCGCTACAAATTTCCCAAAACCAAATTTCACAAAATCAAATTTCTCAAAATCAAATTTCACAAAATCAAATTTCACAAAATCAAATTTCCCAAAATCAAATTTCAGTGCCCCAACACGTCCAAACAAGTCGGATCGAACCAAAAGTGCAACAATACACAATTGAACCCCAACGAACGGATGTTCAAGCTTCGCAATATATCCACCGCCCCCAACCGAAACCCCAAATTCCACAGATTAATAATCAACACTGCATCACACTCCCCGTCGCTCCTTTCGTCCCCGAGCAAGGAATTCCAACGAACATCGTTACACCCACTCCTAAACCGCCGACAACGACTCAATCGCGACCTATGAGCCGCGTTTTGCCGATGCAAACAAACGCTTCGCGGGAACAAAAGAAATTGCCTATCGTCGAGGAGAAACCTGTTGAGATAATCAAAGAAAACATTCTTGCGAATTTTAAGCCGAAAATAACGCTAGTGGAAAACATTGTTATTAAAGATGACAATCGAATCGTTCCAAAAATCGAAAAATCCGAGCGAAATGAAAAGGTCGATCCAATCAAATTAACTCCCCCCGTAAAAATCGAGAAAATCAAATCAATTCCTTTAGTCCTAAAAGATGTAATTGAAGCGAAAAAGGAGAAGCAGCTCGAGATTAAAAACTTTCAAAATCAAAAGTTGGCCCCGAAACCGAGCGTGACGAAAAGTATGCCGCAGCTTGTAGATACTGTAAATATTAAAAACATGTCTCAAAAATTAGACATCTTTAAAACCGTTAGTCAACAAGTTAATCCTAAATCGATACAAACAATTGAAAAGGATCCAAAGGAAATCGTACCCAGCCCATTACAAGAGGCAAAAATTGATATTTCTAGTCCGTTAGATATTACGAAATTTGATGTACCCAAAACGTTTAGTGATCCTTTAAACATCACTAAGAACAGCGTAGATACAAACAAGCCCGACCCAACATTCAAAATAACAATTTTAGAAAAAGAAAACGTCCCCACCATAGTCCCAAATGACATCAAAGAACTACAACCATCCATACAAGTAACTATTAAACCACCAAAATCCGAAGACAAGAGTATGCCCCTTCTTGAAATAACCGACGAAAAACTCGAACCACCTCTCGAATCAAACATAATCCTACCAAAACAACCAAAAATCGCGGAAAAACCCGTAATCATAGAAAAACCAATTATAGAAAAATCAATCATTGAAAAACCAACTTCAACAGCGTCTAAAACTACCAATAACGGCACCGCTATTTTGTATACAGTCGAAACAAAAGACGGTTTTCGTTATTCGTCAACTTCGTTGTACGAGCTTTGGTCGAAAGTTTTTGATGCCGTACAATCAGCTAGAACCGCTCACAACATGTCTCCGCTACCGGCTAATGCCCTCGACATGATTAATAACCTCCAATTATTAGGATTAAAAACCAACGGACTTCGATATTTGCTGGAACAACTCCCAGGAGCGAGCAAATGCACCAAATATAAACCGTCCTTTCACGTGCGAGCATCAACAGATGATTCCGACGACGACATCGAAATTGGTAGCTCTTCTGGTGCCGCTAGAACCGTTCCCTATGCTCGGAAAAAAGATCATACCGATATGTTTGGATGGTTGGCATCAAAACATCGAAAACCGGAACATTATGTCAAAGATACGGATTTGTTACCGAGGTATATATTAATATTTTTAATTTTTTCATCAAAATTAGATTAAGAAATTAATTATCATTTTTATTAGGCGTGGATCTGTAACAAATCTCCCGATGGCGATGAGATTCCGCCAATTGAAGCTTACTTCTAAAAAATCCGTGGGAGTTTACCGCTCAAACATCCATCGAAGAGGATTATTTTCTTTACGCGATTTCGAATCAGGAGAAATGGTGATTGAATACGCTGGAGAGGTAATTACATCTAATTAATTTATTTGTTTTAATTATTTTATTATATTTTATCTTTAGGTGATTCGATCAATTTTAACCGATAAGCGAGAAAAATCTTACAATGCTAAAGGAATTGGTTGTTACATGTTTCGTGTTGATGATAATTTGGTCGTTGATGCAACGATGAAGGGTAACGCAGCTCGTTTTATCAATCATTCATGTGATGTAAGTTATTTATTAACGCATCTTGCGCGGGCACTTTTAAAACGAGTTTAGTCGCTTCCCGCTAAAGATGTGAAATCCGCGCAAAACGAGTTTAGTCGCTTCCCGCGCAAGATGTGTTAAAAGAAAATTGTTAAATGAAAAAATATTTTATTTTATTTTTTTTTGTAGCCAAATTGTTATTCAAAAGTGGTTGAGATTCACGGTCACAAGCATATAATAATATTCGCGTTGCGCAGAATTTGTTACGGTGAAGAGTTAACTTATGACTACAAGTTCCCATTTGAAGAGGATAAAATTCCCTGTACCTGCGGAGCCCGCCGTTGCCGCAAGTTCCTTAACTGACATCTAACTATAGATGTTTACATCAATATAATAATAAAATAAAATCTTGAAGAGATGATGGTCTAGAAGGATTTTTTTATATTTTATTATTATCGCTATTTTATATAAAATAAAAATGACCCTGACGTTTACTCTGTTTATACAGTGTCATTTGATTAAAACAAAAAAATATGTAATACTAGTTCATTAAGATGTATAGTGTACATAAAAAAACATACGTCCTTCCCCACCCCTAAAATAACTATACTCTTATTAGTTATGTTTTATGATTCGTCGTGTACTATTACTTTATAGTTGCTGTTTATTTTATTTTTTTTTTTAAGCGCAGCCAAGTAACGCTGGCCTCGTTCGGATTTCGAATTCTTTTTGATATAAAACGATAGGTTGTAGTGGAAAAAAATAATTAAAAAAAATCGTCAGTATTTTGCATTTCTTAAAAGTATTTTGGCTGTGAAAAACGATGCATTTCGTGCCATTGACAGGGCCCGCGTCACCGAGCGCGACTTTTCGTTTTGTACGTATAATTAAAAGGAAAAACGTTTCTTGTGATAGTTTCCAGTCTTTTAGAAAAGAAAAAGATCACGCCGCTTTTTGTTCATAATATATTAATAACGTTTTCATTGTGACGTAGTGTTCATTTTCGATTGGTGGAGTTTTTTAACAATTTTACGCTGTACATTCTGTATTATAATATATAAATATATATAAATACAAATATATATATACATATATATATATGAGAAAAATTTAAAAGAGAAAAGGATTATATATATTATTGTATATGTAAATTAAAGGGAAAAAAATAATAAAAAATTAAAATAACGTCGACGCGACGACGTCTTGTGATGATAGCTTTACTTAATTTCAAATTGACAATATTCACATATCAATATTAAAAAAAAACTAGTAAGAGCCCCATTTAGGCTCTTACAGAGTGATATACAGCCTTGGGAAGTGTGTACATACAAGGGGAGTACAGCTTACAGTGTCTTATAGGTTTAGTGGACATCGGAAAAGTTATAGAGACGATTTCTCACTCACACACACATTTTTTGGTGCTTATATTATTGCCTAATTGTAATTTTTGTGCTGCATCTTGTATTTTCACAATAAATCACTTTTTTCTTCAACTACTTTGGTTTTGCATTATTATAAACTCATCTTCAAAGGCATGATAAATCTTATTCTTACAAATTATTGACAAAGATTACGTCAAAATGCCTATTTAATGTCATATTGGAAATTAGAAGAAGTCCACTGATTTTCTAACCCTTTTCTAAAGCCAAATTGTTGTTTGTTAAAAATATTATAAATTTCAAAAAAATTAACTAATTGATTTTTAATACAGGTAGTATATTAATTGGCCTATAGGTGGAGGCATCATTAATATCGCCCTTTTTGAACAGCGCAAAATATATGCCACCTTAAAATCATGTGGAAAACAGCAAGTAGTTATACAGAGTAGTCAAAAAGTTTTTAATTTTTTTCGCACCTCAACCTGTGAGAAGGGATAAAATGTGAAATGTTCCTATTTAGAGTAATCCACATATTCGATTAACAAAGATAAAGGATCCTCGCCACCACTTATGTTTTTTGCTAATTTACCGGGGATATTTAAAAAGAAATTATTTAGCTGGTCGGCATTTAAACAGCTAACTCTTTTGGCAAAATTGTCAGAAGTATTTCATATTATTAAAGAAACTGAGGTCAGTCCCAGAAACAATATCAAAAAAGATCTCCAACCCATCTACCGTGTTGGACAAAAAGTTTTGTATTGTTCACCGATATTAATTTTAGGGGCTTTAAATTAAATTGAAACGGCTAAATGATAAGACAATAATATATCTAGTGCATTGAGAAAATCGAGTACTCTTAATGACATCAATTTATTAATGAATTTTATTAACATAAATAATATACATATTGTGAATTACATAATTTTATAAAATGCCCTCCTATCACACCCTTTAGATCTGAGTACATCATTGGAACCTCTCAAAAAAATAACAAAATCAGATTTAACTGACTATCAGCTATAAACTTTGCGTCATCTTTTAATCAACACCTTATATTTTTAAAACACATAAGACACTGTAGGATCTGTCAATTTTATTAATTTGCGCAATCTCTCTCTCTGTTGATTCATATGGTTCCATGTTTCTCTGTCCTGATCCACCTCAATCCATCTGCTTCTCGCAATTTTCTTTATGTCATCTATACATCTTCTAGGGGATTTTCCTGTACTTCTTTTTCTTCCTCTGTCCTCGGCAACCATTCCAGCGATTCTGCCACGCTCAATCTTGTGTAGATGCCCCAGCCATCGTAGGCGCTGTGCCTTTATGCACTATGTCCTCCATCATGCTATCTAGCTCGTGGCTCATCGTAACTCTCCAACTACCGTCTTCCTCCTAGGTATTGCTGAAAATCTTAAGGAGTATCTTCCACTCAAACACTACAGGTTTTATTAACGTTTTATATCAACTTGATTTTTCTGCTTGGATTATCGAATCTAAACCATGACCACATCGTCTGTATACGCACATATCTGTTTTGTTTTGGAGTTTTTTATACCTTTAATATTCGCTTTGCTGACAGCCGAATGTAGGACCAGGTTGAATAGGAAATACTCGCCTCTGTTGGTCTGGAAGTTTTGGGCCTGTATTACTACGGCGGATTTTGAGCCTTTTAAAGTCATGTTAATGAGATTAATGACCCTCCAAGAATTCAAGAACTTCTTCTGCATACACTGATAATCTATTATATACTAAAACTAAGAAAATTTTGTATGTTAAGTTCAGCAATGTAATGCCTCGAAAGCTTTGCTACTATGGTATCAGTACCTGGACATTTATTGGTTTTTAACTTTCTTATGGATTTCTTTGTTACTTGGAGGCTTCAATTTTGATTCAAGAACAATTTTCAACTTTGGTAGCAATCAGTTTCATTCCTGCCACAGCAATTATTTTAGCGACACCAAGCTTTTTGTGGCTATCATATTTTTATTCATTTAAAAGGAATCAGATTCACAAAAGACATGAACTGATATTCAAAAGAAACTGAGTAACTTAATAACTGTAAAGAAAGTGGAAGCGTAATACAGCTTGAAATTGATTCATTGAGTCATCTTTTTATATTTTAAAATAAGGTAAGTCATTTTTGGGCGTTTCCCAATTATTTTATTCTAGTCAAGCGCTGAAATCTCAACTGCTCTATGAGGTTTCCTTGGCGTGTGGTCAATCCATCGCCTTGACATCACCTCACGTTTATAATGTATCGTAGGCATTGATTAATGAACACTTGTTATTTGTTCGACATAACCTTCCATGTTTCACACTGACTTTACCGTGCTGTTGAACAAGCGAAGTTTTATTGTTTTTGAAATGTTCTTATTTCGCCAGATAGAGTGTCCAATATCTCCATCTTTCTCAATAATTGCACCAAGGTACACGAATGTTTCAATTCGTTCCAAGTCTCTTCCATTCACTGCTAACTTAGCTTCGACTACAGAATTGTTATTCATCTCCTTCATTTTTTCGCTGCTTTGCTTCATCTTGCAGTTTTCTCAACTTAGCTCAAGAAAGTAGACAAATGTTATCTGCAAACTCAAGATTGTCAAGTCTATCTTTCATCCCCTGCCTTCTCTAACCTTTCTCATCACTCTATCTATAGATATATAGATAAGATCGATAATTTCTCTCTATAACTTGATACTCATAGTCTTCATACATCCCTGTAGTGTGCCATGCACCACACAAAGTGTACCATGAAAAGATGTTTTTAATAAAATGATTCGTTATATAATTTACAAAAAACAAAAACAGATTAAAAAAAATAAATTATCCATTAACAACCTAAAATGTGGTTCAAAGGGATTGTGGTGCATGGCACACTACAATCCCTTTGATAACACCGATGATCTTTGGAGGAACCCCATATTCTTCCAAAGTATTCCAGAAGATTCTTCCATTCCATGCTGTTCCACGGAGTCTTTAATCTGATTCTGGGTTATCTTTGAGAGTACTTTAATGCTTTGCTGATATGAATATTAAATTTTGTAAGGCTCTGGCTTCTGTTCCTTAAATGTGTTTAGTTAACAAGCTAGTATCGTCTGCATATAAAATAGATTGTCCATGTCCCAAAAAGGAAGGTAAGTCGCTTTGAACCCTGGGGAACACCACTCGTGATACTTCCAAGATTAGACATAGCAGAATTAAATTTCACATAATGTTTGCTGTATGTAAGATACACGCTTCTGGAGCTAATTTGTACGCATATAATTTGCGACTTAAAACTGGGTGACAAATACAATCAAAAGTATGACTAGTATGACTAACTCATCTCATTAGTTTTTTGAACATCTCTCTATTATTATGCACCACTTGACACTCATAGTATTCCAGAAGATTCTTCTATTTAATTAGTCAAAGGCCTTTTTCTATTTTAAATTCGGTATTTACGGAATCCTGTTTGCTCGCTCCTCAGACGCTTTTCCACGGAGTCTTTAATCCGATTTAGGATTATCTTTGAGATTACTTTACTTGGCACTGACAAACGAGTGTTCCCTTACCAATTATTACAATTAGTGGTGCGATAGTTTCACTATTAATTCATGTTTCCAGTCTCTAAGAAACTTATCTTCTCAATTAATGGGTATAATAATCCAACAGTAGTCCCAATGGGACTATTAAATGATAAATTGGACTATTAGACATTGGTCTTGTATATGAATACCGACCATCTAGTAAAGAAAAGTGATAAGAGGAAGTAAGTAGAAGAAGAAGCTCACAAAAATACTGCCTAGGAAGTGTTAAAATAAGATGTTTCATTGAACATAATTTATTAATATTATAAACGCATTATTGAAACAAATAAACTACAAAAAAAAATAATTTAAACTTAAATATTCAAAAATAATTGATCATTTTTTAGATAAAATTTGTTCTAACGCTTTGTAAACTTTTATTTTGGCCAAGACTTCATTCTGCAATCAAAAATAAAACAATCAAATTAAGGCGAAAATGTGAATTAATTACATTACCCTTCGAGTTTCGCTCGTGTGTATAATCCAATTCAAACCGTCCAGATCTTTTTGAAGCTCCTCCAGCTTCTCATCCAAACGTTCCTTATAAGTCGGTTTAATCATTCCTTCGGAAGTGCGTGCTTCGAGGACTTCATCGACTAATTGAACGTAAACTTGATCAATCTTTTCGAGTATCATGGCATTAGTTTTCCATTGATTCTCCAATATTTCAATTTGATCGGTTTTAGACGCCGCGTTCTCTTTTAAAGTTTCAACACGATTCGCAACGGATTTCGTGGCATCATCAAAATTAGCTTTAACTTTTTCATATTGGTCTCGAATTTTATAAAATTCCTCCCTACATCTTAACAATCGATTTTGATTTAACGCCGCTCCGGATCGTTTCCCTTCTAGTTGTAACATTAACGATTTAGATAACAATCTAGCTTCGTCGATTGATTTAATTTGATTCGTCTCGCTAATCGAGGGTTTTTTCGGGGGAGTTTTTCGCTCGGGTTGTACATCTGAAAGTGTTGATTCGAACGAGCGGAGGATATCGGTTGAGCGATTAATTAAAGCGGATTCGGATAACCAGTATTGGAGTTGTTCGCGTTTTGATTTATAAACGACGCTTTTACCGCGTAATTCGGAAATGAAGCGTTTTAAACGTTCGCCGTGGTAAATTTCCCCCCCGACTGTTTTATGTAAATAATCTTCTTTTTCTTTTAATTCGGCGGAAAGTTCTATGTGTCTGTTGCGTATTGAATTGATATTTTTTGAGAGGGTTTCTTTGCGATTAGCAACTCCTGCGGCTTGTTTACGGAAGGGGTTTAATTTATCATCTTCGGCGTTATGAAGCGAGATTTTTTCGCTGGTTAATTTTTGGACGACTTCTTGCATGGTGTGAAGTTTTTTGAATAAATTTTCGTTGTCGGTTGGGCCGTCCAAAACTTGTTTAAGGGTGATGTTTAATTCGCCGACTTTATTTTTTTCAACTTTTACGCTTGTGTTTAATAAAGTTTGGCTTGTGTTAAGATTTTCGCGCAAATTGGGGATTATTGTTTCTAATTGGGGGTTCTCAGAGGTTTGGAAACGATTAAAATGGGCCCATTTGCTCTCCATGCGTTTAATTTGTTCGGAGTTTGTTTGAATTTCATTTTCTAATTTATTTTTTTGGAAATTACAATTTGAGACTATTTTAGCGTGGGTTGTGAGGGTTTTGTTATTTGGGATTGTTAATAATTTCTCGCTTTGAGTTTCAATGCGCTTTGTGAGGTTGTTAGCTTCGTTTCGCATCGTTTTTAAATCGTTTTGAACCTCTTGCCACTCAGATAACTCTTTTTCAGTGACTTTGTAGTTGTTGTAAATTAACCAAAACATGTTCATCAACTCTTTGTTGACTTCCAGGGCTTTTTTGATGAGGGGATCTTCTTGGAATTGATCTGGGACGTAGACGCAGTCGACGAAGTTTGCTAAATAAAATCTTACTTTTACTTTTTCACGGTTTAGGACAAGCCATGTAAATAAATCATAAGCTGAATCTATATCCTGTGTGGAAATAACAAATAATTGTTAGTAACAAAAATGGGGCTATTTGAGTTGTAGTTTTACCTTCAACCAGTTTGCAACAAATTCATCCCTCGACATCACCTCTGGGATGAATCTGATTCGAGTGAGCTCTCGAACAAAATTGTCCATGTGGATATCAGCAACATTGAATGGCCCCTACATCAAAAAGCAACCACACCTTAATTATAATCTTAATCACGACCACATTAATGGAAAATTTCCTTACCGTGACGTTGGGTTTGAGTGCGTGCAACAGCTCCATAGCATAACTCATTCGAGGATACACAGAGGTGCACTCTTGATGGAACTTCATCATGTCCAGCTCTTTATTAAGAAGCTGCGACATCTTCGGTATAAAATACTTGAGTTTTTGCATCGTTTGCTTCTCCGGTTGAGACATTTTGCGCGATTGAAACCGTGGCACAACGTTTTGTTTGTACTTAATACGGTTGCCAAGCAACGCAATTTGAACTTTACACACCGTAGCATAGACAACCAACAATACAAGTTATACACTTAATTAATCCCCTCATAGATGGCGCTAAAGAATAATTAAAAAAAAAAAAGAGAAACGACATCCGTGCGACAATCGACGCCATTACTGTTCTGACATGCCGCAATAGCGTCGCAATCGAGTCGTTTAAAATTGCGCAAGAAAACATCATTTTTGTTCGTGCTTTCCAAGAGAACGAAATAGAAATCACTTTTAGAATCGGCGCACTTAAAAATCTGTTGTTATGTCTGACCCGGATAATCGCAAACTAAGCGATTTGAGAGTGATCGATCTGAAGGTCGAGCTCGAGAAGCGCGGCTTGGACAAGGGAGGTGTTAAAAAAGATCTACTAGAAAGACTTCACAAGGTATTCATCCAAATATTCATTTTCGCGTTATTTACGTTTGTTATGGTTTTATAGGCTCTTGTTGAGGAGGGACATGATCCAGAAACTTATCAATTCGATTCCAATAATGATAAGCCTAATAAACAGAAACGTTTATCTCAATGCAGTAAGTAATACTCCTAATTATTATAAATAAGGATCTTAACACCATTTCATTTTTATGAACAAATTTTAATTTTGTAATAGATTTCTGCAATAAAATTTCTTAGTGGTTAGTAACACTATGATGCAGTCTAAAAATATTTAATACATTTATTGCGCTAATATATATTGTAAGGTTTGTTGGTGTGAACTTAATAATTTTTGTAACATTTGAAACCTAACATAAATGCATTATTGCTTGTATTAACATCAGTCTTACCTCACTCTGCCACAGCTAAATCAACAATTTTGTATCGTGTAAACACATCATACCCTGGAACACATGCAAATAAGTCAAGAAACCTCAATGAACCCCAAGCATACCTTAATATTTGAGACTGATGTTATTTTTTTATGTGAATGTGCTTTACTACAGTTACAAGATACATAGCTTTAGTCCAGCGGTCGGGGAACTTATTTAATCATTACCCCAAAATATTTTTGTGTAAGTTGATGTTATCTAGGGTGTCCAATTCCCGGGACTAAAAATGTTTTCGGGATTCGGGACTAAATTTTAATTCCCGGTACTTGGACCAAAGGTCCCGAATTCCCGAAAATAGTCCCGAAATCAAAATACGTTTGCAAAAAAATATTTAAAAAACAGCTAAAAACGTACTTTGGGTTTTTTACTTTAGTGTTACTGTAGGAGTTCACCAATTGAATAAAAGAAATTTATATAGAATGAGAGAAACAAAAAAAATCACAAAATAGGAAATTAAAAAAAAAAATTTATTTTTTAAAATATGCTTTAGTGCTACAAGTGCGTTTAAAGATTTATCTCCTAATACCAAGCGTATTTTCGTTGCAAAAAAACCGGCAATAGTAAACGCCCATTCCGATTGTACACTCGTGAGCGGTATGGTTAGCAAATACTTGTAGCATAGTTGAAGATTCTTGCCTCGACAACCGCCTTTCTCGAAAAGGGCGTCTTTGATTATTGTAATTAATGAATTTTTTGTTGATGTTCCAATTTGAGGTGATATTGCTCTCGTGCTGGTGGACGTAGACATTGCATTTTCAAATATCCTATTTAATTTTTCTACTAATGACAAATTATTTGACGCGCACACAAAAACCTCCAGAGCACAGGCTAGCCACAACTCACAGTGTCACACGACTATACCTATTAACTGGAGCACCACCGGTATATAACACCGATTCTACAAATATTGCAAGTCACCCGTTAGCTAGTCGGGGTGCCTCGAGATCGATATTTTGAACAGGTTGTAACCTGTTAGTTGTAGTCGTTCCGATATTTTAATTTTTTCCTTAATTTCGGGACTTATAAAATCCCGGGACTTCTTAGTGGTCCCGGACCTACATTTTTTCAAGAAATCCCGGGACAGACCCGGGACTAAATACCGGGACTGGACACCCTAATGTTATCCATGGCGAAGAGCAAAAAAAACGAAATCGCCTCTTTTTAGCATCTTTCATATTATAGCCCCCATGATAATTTTGAAAAGAAAACAATAACTAAAAATTTAATTTAAACATCATTTATTCAATTTATCAATGTTAGTTTTTTCGTCTAATAATACAAGAAAAATATCATATGAATTATAAAATAACAAGCAATTATCATTTACTTATATTTTCTGTGGGAGCGAATTTTTTTTCCTCAACTGTATATAACAAATTGAGACCCATTGGGGTACAATTGAGGGTTGACAATTTTGGGTACTGTAACAAATTATAGTAATAATAATAGTGGTGGTACAAACAAAAATTAGAAAAAAAAGAATAATTGAAAACATTCTTTTTTCACGTTTTGGAGAAATGATGTTTCATGTTCGATACAATTGCTTCAAAATTGGGACTTTTTGATGTAAGAGCGATTTGAATACAGTCTTCGGCTAATAAACAGAAACGTTTATCTCAATGCAGTAAGTAATACTCCTAATTATTGTAAATAAGGATCTTAACACCATTTCATTTTAATGAACAAATTTTAATTTTGTAATAGATTTCTGCAATAAAATTTTTTAGTGGTTAGTAACACTATGATGCAGTCTAAAAATATTTAATACATTTATTGCACTAATATATATTTTAAGGTTTGTTGGTGTGAACTTAATAATTTTTGTAACATTTGAAACTTAACATAAATGCATTATTGCTTATATTAACATCAGTCTTTAATCAACAATTTTGTATAGTGTAAACACATCATACCCTGGAACACATGCAAATAAGTCAAGAACCCCTAGCACATTTTAACCCAGATATGCCCATACAAATTTGGTGGTTGTTTATGAGTAGATCTTCTGAGAGGTTAGTATTTAAGCTATACATAAACAAATTTTCTAAAGCAAATTAAAAATGTATTTTGAAAAATACAAAATTCAAGCCGTACTATACAGGGTGTATCTGAATGACTGCAACAAACTTCAAGGGGTAATTCTTTAGTGAATTTTAAGGGTACTTTGATATATGAACCATGGGCGAGTTTGGCTCCCCTAAGGAGCTACACCCCTTCAAAAAAGGCGGAAAATTTTGGTTTAACTTTTTTTCTCAAAAACCATAAACGCTAGGAAAATGAAATTTGGGGAATATGTTTAACTCATAATAGGGCACGTTTTGACCCTATTTGTACTTTCAACCTACTCTTCTAAGTTGCTAAACATAACCACCCCTGTTCAATTTTTGTCTAGATTTTTCTTATGACGGTGATAAATACATTGGAAATATTTTATTTAGATAGATGAAAATATTCTATAACTTTTTTGCCTCTCTGATGTTCTTTGAAAAGTTAATAGTTTCTGAGAAAAAAATTAATTAAGCAAACACTAACTGTTAAGCTGTAGGGTTGTTAATCGAAAGTTGGAATGTATTTTTAATGAAAAAATCTTAGTAGGCTTTGCAATCTTTGTCAGAAATATTTTTGACGTTTAAATGTCAGTGTTTTTCTTACTATTATCATTGTTCACAATTTTAAATAAAACAATAATAATAGTAAGAAAACCACTGATATTTAAACGTCAAAAATATTTCTGACAAAGATTACAAAGCCTACTAAAATTTTTTCAATAAAAATTCGTTCCAACTTTTGATCAACAACCTCGTTGTTTAACGGGCAGTGTTTGCTTTATTTTTTTTTTTTTCTCAAAAAGTAGTCGTTTTTGGAAAAATTTTAGAGAGACAAAACAGTTTTAGGATACTTTCATCTACCTATGTAAATTTTTTTTAAATGTATTTACCATCTGCATAAAAAAATCTAGGCATAAATTGAACGGGGGTGGTTACGTTTAGTAGTTTAGAAGGCTGGTTGAAAGTACAAATAGGGTCAAAACGTGCATCATTATGAGTTAACCATATTCCCCAAATTTCATTTTCCTAGCGTTTATGGTTTTTGAGAAAAAAAAAATTAAACCAAAATTTTCCGCCATTTTTGGAGGGGTGTAGCTCCTTAGGGGAGCCGAACTCGCCCATGGTTCATATATCAAAGTACCCTTAAAATTCACTAAAGAATCAGCCCTTGAAGTTTGTTGCAGTCATTCAGATACACCCTGTATATAGTAGGGTGGGCATTTAAGGAGTAACAAATCTAATTGTTAGTTTGTGTATGATATGAAAGTAAACACTTCACGTGTAGACCCTTTTCACACTTCAAAAATCTAGTCGTGGTCTTCTGATGACAATGGACGCATCTAGTCTTGAGGTATGATGTAGTGGTCCCTGTGATCAAAACGAATATCTATACCTTCATTACGTGACGTATGTTCTCTTGAAGTCGTTTGTTTTTTATTCTGCAATAGCAGTGTGGTGGCAATTCTTCTAAATTTTAACTCCACCACTTGTCCTATGTAGTTGCCAGGCGTTGTGAACTGACATGTCAATACAATGCGCTATAAGAGGAAAATACCATTTTTTCCCTCTGACATATATGCGATAAAGGCTCAAATTTTGATCACATCTGTCGATACCTCCCATATTCGCGTTGTATAAATTGACTAAATGTGGCTGAGTTACCTGAATAATTTTCTTTTCGAGAAAATCTTTTTGCAGAATGAATTGGATTCACCCCTGCTGAATTTAAACATAAAGTGACAATACTATTGTCATGCCATTTTACAACAATTATATTTTGGACATCAACATTTTTATAATCGTAGCATCCCCTTGGCTCTTTCTTAATTTTTTTAGAATCCATCAGAGGATTAGCTGGTATACTGTTTTCACGAATGGTGCCTGTGCCTCTCAAATTTTTATTGGATAGAAGCTCCAATAGCGGCAAGGTGGAAAAGAAGTTGTAAAAAAAAGGTGTATTGGTTCATTAGGCCATTTTTTCTTCAAAACGTCGGCATATTCTAAAATAACAGCAGGCCCTGCACCATACGCACTATACTTAGTGCTGATATTTGTTGACGCGCCTTGGTACGACTCGAACCAGTTGACATAGCCCAGTCGGGTTGCCCCTACCCACAGTTTATATTCATATCGGATGGGTTTGCCATGTATAAACTGTTTACAGCCATGACGACCAAAGTATGGTACCATGGCTTCATCAACGCAATGTATCTTCTCGCATATACTATTTTCTAAACATTTTTTATTCAGATATTGGAATAAAGACCTCACCTTTGCGAATTTGTCTCTTGCTTCTATTTTAGTTAGTATCTGCAAGATGAAAATGGGACATAATATATTCAAAATTATTTCGACTTACTGCTTCAGACACCAACATATTTTGACTGTCTCTTTCATACTCCGAGTACGTTCTCCTTCTTGGTACTAGCATATATCCACTGAGTAATAGTACACCTATAACGATTACTTTCGATTACTATTAGATCCAGTATTTCATCATCAAAGAAAAATGAAAATAGCTCCAAAGGACTTATATCGTTATCATTTTCATCTACTTGGCCATTAAAAATTATATTATTAGGCTCCAAGTCGTTATCCGTCCATTAATAACTTTTCCTTTTTTTCGTATTTTTTACTACCCTTGGTTTCTTTGCC